GCAAGTCTGCGGGGAAACGCGCAGAGCTGGGCTCCACTGGGGCTTCCAGGCTCGCAGCCCACTGGCAGCAGTGAGGGTCCCATCTGTGCCTGCGTGCAGGCTCTCATGGAAAGGGTGCTTCTCCCTCCTGACCTGGGCCCAGCATGCCCGGCCGAGCCTGCGCCCCTGCACTAGGGGCTTCCCTGCCCCTCAGCGGTGTCCAGAGGGCAGCCCCTGCTTACCCATCTGAGTCAGGATTAGCAGGCCGGTCTGTGCGCAGCAGGGGAAGAAATGGGGTGCGGACCACCATGCCTTCTGCGGCTCTCCTCCTGCCTCCCCGGGGCTCACCTGGGTACAGTCAGCAGGCGTCCTTGGTGCCCCTGAAGCCCTCTTGGCAGGTGGACTGGAGCAGCCGGGAAGCCTTCCCAGGAAGCCCGGTGCTCAGAGCCATCGGCAGAGGGGCAGGGAGGGGGCGTTACGCGGCCTGGAGGCATACGGCCACCCCCAGCCAAGCCCACCCCATGCTGGGAGAAGGAAGGCTGGAGAAGAGGCAGGAGCAGAGGCTAGGCGGGGGAGTCCAAAGAATGGGGAGGACGGAAGGGAAGAGGACAGAAGAGGCAGGAAAGAACGAAGGAGGCAGAAACAGTGGGAGGGGCAGGGGGCGAGTGGGGACAGAAAGGGGTCTCGGAAGGGCTTTACTACCCTGCCCCTCAGCGGTGTCCAGAGGGCAGCCCCTGCTTACCCATCTGAGTCAGGATTAGCAGGCCGGTCTGTGCGCAGCAGGGGAAGAAATGGGGTGCGGACCACCATGCCTTCTGCGGCTCTCCTCCTGCCTCCCCGGGGCTCACCTGGGTACAGTCAGCAGGCGTCCTAGGTGCCCCCGAAGCCCTCTTGGCAGGGGGACTGGAGCAGCCGGGAAGCCTTCCCAGGAAGCCCGGTGCTCAGAGCCATCGGCAGAGGGGCAGGGAGGGGGCGTTACGCGGCCTGGAGGCATACGGCCACCCCCAGCCAAGCCCACCCCATGCTGGGAGAAGGAAGGCTGGAGAAGAGGCAGGAGCAGAGGCTAGGCGGGGGAGTCCAAAGAATGGGGAGGACGGAAGGGAAGAGGACAGAAGAGGCAGGAAAGAACGAAGGAGGCAGAAACAGTGGGAGGGGCAGGGGGCGAGTGGGGACAGAAAGGGGTCTCGGAAGGGCTTTACTCCCACCCGGGTTTCCCCATGGCTCAGACGGTAAAGCGTCTGCCTGCACTGCGGGAGACTCGGGTTGGATCCCTGGGTCAGGAAGATGCCCTGGAGAAGGAAATGGCAACCCACTTCAGTACTCTTGCCTGGAAAATCCCATGGACGCAGGAGGTTACAGTCCATGGGGTCACAAAGAGTCGGACACGACTGAGCGACTTCACTTTCTTTCTTTGCTCCCACAGTCGCACTTCATGCGCAAAGCAAGGCCGGTGCTATTGTTAAGGCCATCTGAACCCTAACCCACTCCTTCCCATGACAGCCACTGGCTTTTGTCCCCATCCACGAACATCATCCATTCTCCGCTCAAAACAAACCTACAGAGAAAGGAATCCTCTATAATCAACTTACAGAAATCTGCACCCTGCTTCCACACCATAACGCCCTGTCCCCATGACCTGATTTACAATTTTTCTTGGCACGAATGCACCATCTGCCAGAGCAGGTATTTCTTGTCTGTCTCCCTTATTACAGTATTAACTCGAGAAGAAACTTTAGCCACTAGAATGCTGTGTGCTGTGCTTAGTCGCTCAGTCGTGTCTGATTCTGTGACCCCATGTGACTGGAGCTCCAGAGAGGACTGGGAGAAGCCAGGAAGACCATTGACCAGTAAGTCCAAGGAAGATGTGGGCTGCAGCGAGATGTACAGGGTAGGCTGCAGACAACAGCCCTGTCTACAACTTGAGAAGGAATGGGCGAAGAGGAAGCAAGAAAACTAGACAGAATAGTGTCTTAAGAAGAATGACAACTCTTGACAGTGTCGGATGCTCTAACATTTAGGACTTCACCAGAGACTGCCAGAAGTTTCCAGTAGAATGGTGGGAAACGGAAAATGGTGAAATTTTTTAGGGGCAAGCAGGTGAGGAAATGAAAAAAAGTTTAAGAATGGAGACTATTCTCAAGAAACCTGACTGAAGGAGACAGGCAGACAGTTAACTAGGAGAGACCCCGATGAAGTCTGAATAAGTTTCCTGGTATGGAGCTGTCAGGGGTGACAGAGACCACGGCCTGCCTATTGACTGAGATGTCTAAGAGACATATACAATTCCTCAGGTTAAGGTGGGGCGGGATCTGGAGTGGAAAGGAAGAAGGTGCCTGGAGTGTCATCTGTCGACAATGGAGGGGCAGAATGACAACAACTAGGAGCAGAACAGATACGGCCAGAGTTACCATCTTGGGGGGGGGGTGGTGGTGCGGGGCAACTTTTTAAACCGGGATGGAAGAGCAAAAAAGCCTGGGAACTCCCAAGAGAAGCTAAAAGACTCTGGGTCATCGGTTTTAAAATCTTATCCCTCCTCCTTTCAGACCCACTTAAGCCCAGTAACTGTCTTTAATAACCTGATGAGCTCTGCACTCCTCTAGCTGCTTTTTAACCAAGCACAACCTTTGTCGACCTCTGGGATGTATTTTAGAGGCCTGGGGCCTCTGTGGGTTCTTGTTTGCCCAGTTCCTCGACAGCAAGGCTCTGGTCAGTCTCATCTCTTTGATCGCTGCACATAACAGGTGCTCACTGCACTTGTAGAATGAACGCTGGGCAGAACTGAGGCGCGGTCACCAAACGGTAGGTAAGACTCGTCTTTCTTCCTCGAGAAAACTGCTTCCATGTCACAGCCTGAAACGACCCCTTTCTTCCTCGACACCAGTCGCTTTCGGCTTTGGCCGCACTTTCCGAGAGGCCGGGGCTCTTTTAATACTCCCGACGGCCAGGTCTCCTCGTGGCCCGAAGTGATCGGGGGCCCGGAGCTGGAGCCGCAGGCGGAGGGCCCGAGCGGCGGGGCGCTGGCGCCTTCATCGCTCCCTTTCCTGGTCCCGGGGATGCGTAAGGGATCGCAGCCCAGCCTCTGCTCACTGCAGAGCCGCTTAACCGACAGCGCGAAACTCCTGGGCGCCGTTGGGTTCGTTGGCCTCCTGTCAGCGACGAACTCGGAGCTCGAGGCAGCGGGGAGGAGGGGCCTCTAGGCCGCAGAGGGCCCTGGGAATCGTAGTTCTGACACTGCCTGCAGGGTCCTCGGGGAAAGGAAGATCAAAGGACTGGAACTACATTTTCCAGAACTCACCGCGTGAGCGTGAGGGCGTGGCGGTGGCGGTGGCGGTGGCGTGGCCAAGAGCCTGTCTCCTCCAAAAGCTCCGAAAGCGTCCGAGCGCCTCCGGGTGCTTCCCGAATACCTCCGAGCGCCTCCGGGTGCTACCCGAATATCTCCGAGCGCCTCCGAGCGCCTCCGAGCGCCTCCAGGTGCTTCCGGAATACCTCCGACCGCCTCCAGGGCCTTAGAACAGCTCTGAGCTCCAGGGACAGACAGCAGGGCGCCTCCGAACGCCTTTGGGGGGCGGGGGGAGGGAGGGGGCGAAAATCAGTTGTTATTTGGCAGTGGTTTGTGATGCCCATCTTACGTCTAAGTGTCAACACTGAGTAGACAGGAGGATGCAGGGAGACCAACAAGATGGAAATGGACTTGAGCTCGAGGGCACTTGGATGTAACCAAATGGACCAGATGGACTTACTGGGCAGGGGTGACAGGGAACATTTCTGAACTCAACATTCAGAAAACTAAGGTCATGGCATCTTGTTCCATCACTTCATGGCAAATAGATGGGGAAACAGTGGAAACAGTGACAGACTTTATTTTGGGGGGGCTTCAAAATCACTGCAGATGGTGATCGCAGTCATGAAATTAAAAGACGCTTACTCCTTGGAAGAAAAGTTACGACCAACCTAGACAGCATATTAAAAAGCAAAGACATTACTTTGCCAACAAAGTTCTGTCTAATCAAAGCTATGGTTTTTCCAGTGGTCATGTATGGATGTGAGAGTTGGACTGTGAAGGAAGTTAGGAGCTGAAGAATTGATGCTTTTGAATTGTGGTGTTGGGACTCTTGAGAGTCCCGTGGACAGCAAGGAGATCCAATCTGTCCATCCTAAAGGAAATCAGTCCTGAATATTCATTGGAAGGACTGATGCTGAAGCTCCAATCCTTTGGTCACCTGATGCGAAGAACTGACTCATTTGAAAAGACCCTGATGCTGGGAAAGATTGAAGGCAGGAGAAGGCGACGACAGAGGATGAGATGGTTGGATGGCATCACCGACTCAATGGACATGAGTTTGGGTAAACTTCGGGAGTTGGTGATGGACAGGGAGGAATGTTGTGCTGCAGTCCATGGGGTCGCAAAGTTGGACATGACTGAGCGACTGAACTGATTTTTATTATTATTTTTGACCACACACATCATGTAGGATCTTAGTTCCCCAATCAAGGATTGAACCCGTGCCCCCAGCATTGCAAGCACAGAGTCTTAACCACTGGACCACCAGGGAAGCTCCAGGGAGAGACTTTTAAAGCATAGGTACACACTGGAGAGGAGACCTAGCTGTGAATCCTAAACTGTCACCCCTTGATTAGGCCTGGGCACTGCCAACCCTAAGAGAGAACAAGAATAAGCTTGGGGTTCTGAAGCAGATGTGGGGGCTGGGCTCCTTGTGGCAGGGACTGCAATCAGCTGACTGCATGACCTGCAGGCCCTGACCCAGCCCAAGAGGGTGGGACCCCTACATCCCAGCTGCCTGAATCCCTCCTTCCAGGGTTCCTGACTCCCTGGGCTCAATTTGGCCTGAAGTCCAAACTGCCTGGGCCATGAACTGGGTGGGTCTCTGTGTCCGAGGTCACTGGCAATGGGGAAGCTCGCTCTTCAGTTGAGAGAAGTAATCACCTAAGTGGACAGACGTCTGCACCACACTCATGGACCCTACAACAGGCTTCTGAAAGAAATTTCCACACCACGTGGCTAGCAGTCAGGCATCAGTTTTATTCTTGGAAGTTCACAAACAAGAGAACGGTCTGGGAACCAGTAGTTTCCCTTCTCCTTCGTAACTCTGGAGACAAACTCCATGCCAGAGTTTCCATCACCAGAACACACACAGTTCCCGGGGAGAGCAGGCCAGGTCCATGGACCTGCAGGGGAAACCCACCTGCAATGGTCTGGCCATAGCGAGGTGGAAGCACTGTCCATCATGAGATGCACCATGGGGCGTTCATCACCACTGCCTCTACACTTGTTTGCTGACAGTGAGACGTTTTAAAACCACTCACAGCATTAGAAATGGGGAAAATGTGCTTGGCTTTGTATTTATGCATTTGACTGACACCTTAATTGACACCACAGCATCCAGCAATACTTCAGAAGGGTAACTACCTCTCCAGAATCCTTTATTTAACACAATTGGAACCATCGATGGCAACCTAATACACAAACTCAAGCGTGCTAAATGCAAGACATACAGAGAACCGTGCTTCTCTGTGGCAGCTCTGGGCAGGCCTGCAGAACGCCTCCTGCCTGTCCTGGCTGGAGGGCCAGGGCTTGAGGTCTTCTGCCAGGACACTAGTGCTCAGCACCCAGGAGAGGCTCAGCTCCGTTCCATCACCTGTGCCCCCAGACCCACAGGGCGCCTCTTAAGTCTGGGACAGGGGAAGCGCGGACAACCCTGGGAGCCCTACAGGATTCCTCCTCCCGCCTGTGGCTCCCTCCCTCCACCCACCATCGGGCTGGGCAGGGGGAATGCATAAACATTCCTCCAGCAAGAAACAGGGGGCCTGGCTGGACTGATTATGCGGGTCTGCGCAGCAGGACCGGGAAATATCCAGACCCCTGCCCGCCACGTCTGAACTCCCGGGAGGAGGGAACGGAACCTGGGAAGGCAGAGCCCACCCCGCAGGCCCCAGGTTGGCGTTGGTCACCAAGGCCTCCAGACACTCTGGGCCAAGCGGGTAGCAGTCAGGCTGCCCAGGGCTGCGGGCACCGAGTCTGGCCCCTCGGCAGGCGGGGCACGGCTCAGTTCAGCCTCGGGGACCTCCTCCAGGTCTGAGGACTGGTCGTCCCCGGAGCCCCGGGGGCTGGGCAGCGGGGACTCGAGCGCGCCTCCTACGAGCCAGTTGCTCCGCCCCGGGGCTGCGGGCGGCGCAGACAGGGCGTCCCCCAGCAGATCGCGGAAGCTGCTGCCCTCGCGCAGCGGCATGGACTCGAGCAGGTGGTTCAGGAGCTCGGCGGCGACGGTAGCGTCGATGGCCTGGCACGTGGACACGAACGTGTGCACTTCGTGCATGCACTGGATGTAGCCGGCGGCGAAGCGCTCGCTGGCTTCCGCTTGCAGCTGCTCGCGCTCTGCGCTCGGAGATGGGAGGGGAGAGAGCCGCGCCGGGTCCAGTGAGCGGCGACCGCTGTGGCCCGGCCCTCCCGGCCCGCGGGGACGAGGCTCACCCAGGAGACGCGGGGGGCGCCCCCTGTCCCGGGCCGGGGAAGTCCTCGGTGGAGAGCGCGCCCGGCCGCCACTCACCGCGCGCCTGGCCCCGCAGCGCGCCCTGCACTCGCCGCACCGTGAGCTCCAGCACCTCGGCGTTTTCCAGCTTCGCCTGCACCTGCGCCGCCGGGGAGGGGAGGTGAGGCGAGGCCGGCCCGCGGGCCCGCAACCCCTGGGCGCCCCCCACCCCCGACCCCGCTGGCCTCACCTCGGCGCCCGCCAGCAGCAGCCGCAGCTCCTGCAGGCTCTCGTTGATCCGCGCGCGCCGCTTCTTCTCCACCAGGGGCTTCCGGGCCTGCGGAAAGCGAGCAACTGAGTCCCGGCCCTGCGTGGTCCCCGGAGCCCGCCCGCTCCCTCGCCCATCCGTGGATACAGCCAGCACCTTGCGGTCCCCGCGCGCCTCGCAGCCGTCCTCATCCTCGCGACCTGCCCGGTCCCGGCCCGGCGCCAGGAGCGGAGCCATGACGCGCACAGCCGGGAGCCCGGCGAGCGCAACAAGCGAGCACGCCCCTCACCCCCTCGCGTCTTCCGCGGCGTCCTCGCGCCCGCCTCCGATCCCCGCCCCTTTTATAGCACCTTATTTGCATCTCAATACGCCAATTGCTTGTGCGGGCCAATGGCAGAGGCCGCTTTGTCCGGCCCAGCCGCCCCGGTCGGCTAGCAGCTGGCGGGGCGTGGCCTGCGGCCGGGAGCTGGAGGGCGGAGGGCGGGGGGCAAGCCCAGCTGGGCCTCCGAGCGACCCCCGCGTTGGCCGGGGGGAGTGGGCACCCGAGGGGGCGATGACCACGAGGGCTGTGGCCCCAGGTGCGCTTGTTCCCCTTCCCACCCTGAACCGGTCGCCCAGGTCTGCTGCGCGCGCGAGCAGGAGCGCACCCATCCCTTCATCCATCCATTCGCGCTAGACTTCCTTCACCTAAGATGCCACAGGAGGGGGACCCTTCAGCGCGCCTGCTGGGGTCCTCGGAGCTAGAGCCACAGCAAAGACCGCGGTCTCCGAAGCTGGAGGGAGCCACAGGTCCGGTCTGGGGAGGCTGCAGAGTCCCAGGGAGGTGAGGGCCCTACGGGCAGCAGGGGTGGGAGCGAGCTCCTGCTCCCTCACGTTTCTAGCGGACTTGTGAGTCCTGCCTGCAGCCTGCTCGGGGATCCTAGTGGGGCGGGGTCCGCAGGCCCGTCCTCAACAGCTTCATCTCTCGGACCTCCTTCTCTGGTCATCGGTCCTTTCCTGGTCCTCATCACCCTCCCATCTCCTCGGCCCCTTCGCTCCCTGACCCCCTTTCACCTTCCTTTCCCCCACCCTCTCCTCCCTCAATATACCCACCGACCCCCGACCTTCCCTAGCCCTGCCCCATCCTGCCCTCCCTGCCCAACCGCCCTTCCCTGGTCCCACAACCCTTTTCCATTCGCCCCGGCCCCCTCCCCAGCCCCTGGGCTCCCTTTCCCCCCAGTCCTCCCCTCCCTCCCCCGCCCCTCGCCGGGCTGGCGGAGCCCGCCGTCTGGTCCCCGTAACTTGATGCCCGTGACAGTTGGCAGCTGCAGCCGCTTCGGCAGAGAAAAGCGGCAGCCCAGCCAAGAGCGACAGGTGTTGGCCGCGCCTTTGTCTCGGGCTGCTTTGTCACCAGGGCGGGCGCGGGGGTGGGTGCGCCTGTGTCGCCAGACGACCGCCACCCCCAGGTCCGGCTGCCCATCTGCCAGCCCGGCCTCTTTGAGGGTGGGGTGCGTGGGCGGTGGGGCGACACCCTGGTGACCCCCAGCCTGGCCCCAGCGCTGAAGGCCCAGGTCCGCGGCCTCTCCTGGCAAAGCCGGGATGCCAATTTGCCTTCAGGCAGCCAGGGCTTACACCTGGCCCACACAGAGCCTTAAACCTGGAGCGCCTGGGATCTCCCTTTAAAGGGCTCCTTCCCTGCTGTTCAGGCTGCAGCTCCGTTTCCATCTTCCTGGTGGAAGGACCTGCAACCTTGTAGGATCTGCTGCTTCCCTCCCGGGACTGGGACCGTCAGGGTCTGGTTCTGTGCCCCTCCAGGTTATAAGCATCCTTGGCCCGGGGTACTCTGACCAGCACCCTGTCACAACCCCCAGCACAGAGACTGGTGAAGCAGAAGCCCTGGGCGGGGAGGGAAGATGAGTGTCCCCAGCCTAGCTGGAGGGAGCAGGGGAAAGAAACATCCAGGGATGGCAGGGGGGCTGGGTGGCAGGACTGGGCTGCAGACGCCCACCAGGGCCCCCCATGATCCAAAGATGGCTCTGGCAGCCCTTCCGGTGTCTACTTCACTTCAGGTTCCCTGCCAGAGGGATCTCCACAGTAGGACAAGCTTGATGAGAGTTCTGATGGTTCTCAAAGGTGGCTCGGCAGGTAAAGAACCCTCCTGCCAATGCAGGAGACACAGGAGACTCGGGTTTGATCCCTGGGTTGGGAAGATCCCCTGGGGAAGGGAATGGCAACCTGCTTCAGTACTCTTGCCTGGAGAACTCCATGGACAGAGGAGTCTGGTGGGCTACAGTCCATGGGATCACAAGGAGCTGGACACGCCTGAGCAACTAACCACAAGCAAGACCAGCGCACCTCTGTGAGCCCTTGGTGGGTAGGGACTTGGACTCGGGGACTCCCTGGGAACCCCTTCTGCTGATCCTCACTTGGCTGTCTGTCTGCTTTTCTGTGAGCAGGGTGCTGACCCATCTCCAGCCCTGCATTGCTCACCCAGGTAGAAACTTACTCCTCTCCTTCAGACACCCTGTGTGTTTCCCGGTCTCCCTCATAAGCCATGGGGAAGAAAGCTTAGCTCTTGTTCTCCCATCCTCCCCTGCCTGATCAGAAGCTTGACTGCCCTCCCCCTTCCTAGTGGAGGGCCAGACAGAGTGTGGGAGGGGCTTGAGTAGTGGAACCCTTTGAGAGAGCCCATAGCTGGCCTGGAACTTCACTTTTCTTCACCATGTCATTTAGACACCACCCCAGGGAGCAAGATCCCACCCCCACGCCAAGGAATCGCAGTTAAAGTTTGCCCTACTTTGAGGAACTCAGATATGGAAAAACCAACTCGGTGCTATCTCTTATTCTTGACCCTTACCTTTCCCATTATTGATTGTATTGTTTGAATAAGATCAAACGAGTATTTTAGAGTGCTCTCCAGGACAGGCACTTTATATTGGAACAGGATGATCGGGGCTCTAGGGAAGGCCTGTGGAAAAAGACTACTAGTCTTTGCCTGATTCGATGGGGAACTGGAAGTGCAGGAAGAGTGATAAAGGCCAACGGTGCAAACAAGAAATCAAAGGCAACTTGGAACTCCGGCAAAAACAAAAAGCTGCCCAAGGAGAGAAATGTAACCTTAGTACTTACTTGGCCCAGTAGCCAATTCTTTCACAGTCACAAGATAATACGGCTCATAGCATTTCAAGATTTAGAGTCAATCTATGAGTGAGTGAAATTTACTAAGTCGTGTCCGACTCTACAGTCAATCTGTAGGAAAGGCTTAGTGGTGGTTGTAGGGTGTATACAGAGCTAACTTTGTACAAACAAAAGGACAGGTGGCAGTTGTCAGGAGAAGATGGCTGAGCAAGGGCTAAGGATCTCCAAAGCCTGATCTTACATGGGGTTGCGAGGCTGTGAGGAATGCTGTCTAGAAGTGAAGGAAGGAGAATTCAGTGCTGGGACATGCCTCAGTCTAAGTAGCCTTGGGACAAAAAGCACAAGGATAGAATAGGGTTGGAGAAGGAAATGGCAACCCACTCCAGGATTCTTGCCTGGAGAATCCCCCTGAACAGAGGAGCGTGACGGGCTATAGTCCATGGGGTCGCAAAGAGCTGGCCACGGCTGAGTGACTAAACCATAGAGTAGGGGGTGTGAGTCAGCAAAATCCTCCTTGGTTAGACTGGAAGTTGCCCAAGGCCTCATCTTTGAAGCCAGCCTCAGTTTCCTTTAATGGGCCCACTGGCTGGCAGGCCTGGCTTCTTCCTCCCAGAAACCCGGCTGCTCTGTCTCAGGACCACCTCGCCCTTTCTCTTTCCCTACGTGGCCTCCGCTAGCAGATCCACTTCCTGCCATTTGTTGCTTGGACTGATCCCACCTTCAAAGGTTGCCTGAGCACAGGCTTCCTGAGCATTTGGGCTCTTTGATCCCCATATCCAAAGACAGAGCCCAACAGAGGCTGGGCAGGGCAGCAGTGGCCACAGGGGGACCAGTTAGCGGCAGGGGTGGCAAGCCATAAAATCCCCAGGGAACAAAGGCGGTGGCCAGCCTATGGACATCCAGGCCCCTGGCGGGCAATCAGCCCAGCGGCTTGGAGAAGCTCCTTTTGGTTTGGAAATAGGGGGGGGGGGTGCCCTTGGGATTAAACGGTAGACAAAAACGCAGCTAAACACCCTGAAGTCTCAGAATTTCAGTGAAGCAGGCAGATCTCCACATCTGGCCACTGAGGAGGTCTGCAGAGGCCTCTGGGTCCACTGGGAGGACTTGGCCTCCCCACCCCCAATCACCACCTGGATCCAGGCAGCCAGGACGGGAGGCGAGAGTCAAGCCTTCCTCCTCCTGCTGAGGGAGCTCCGGGAAGGCCGGGCACCAGGTCTGGGACCCACGACACAGTCTGGTATGAAGAAGTGTTTGGAAGGGAGAAGCAGCCCCTGCTGCTTTGATCAGGCCCTGCACGGTCTCGCTGCAGTGGGAGGAAGCGTGGGGGTGGGGTGGGGTAGGAGGAGACTGCCATGCTGCCTGTGGTGGAGACACGAGGCCTTTCTGGCCTCAGATCCTTCTGATCTCGCTGCCTTCAGCCCTGGGCCAGCGCACAGGCAGCCAGCCCCGGTGCGAGAGACGACCCAGAGCGGGTGGGGAGAGAGAGGAGCAGGTGCCCGGGCTCACTGCAGAGCGGATGCGAACACCAGGGGCTGAGCTGAGTGGCCCTACTCCCCATCTGAGTGAGAAACCACGGAGGGGCTGGACTCCCGGATTAGATCTACAGCAGGGAGTCCCCTATAGCTCAGGCGGTAAAGAATCCGCCTGCAACACAGGAGACCCAGGTTTGAGGCCTGGGTCGGGAAGATCCCCTGGAGGAGGGCATGGCAACCCACTCCAGGATTCTTGCCTGGAGAATCCCATGGACAGAGAAGCCTGGCGGGCTACAGTCCATGGGGTTGCAAAGAGTAGGACACAACTGAGTGACTAACACTACACTAACAGGGAGTTCACTGTGGTGGGGGCTGCATGTCACACACACACACGCGCACAATAGGAAGGGGTCAGCAAGAGGCACATTGTGCGTGGGAAGAGGTGAGGGGTGCCTTGGAGAGACCCCTGGAGGAGGGCATGGCAACCCACTCCAGGATTCTTGCCTGGAGAATCCCATGGACAGAGAAGCCTGGCGGGCTACAGTCCATGGGGTTGCTAAGAGTCGGACACAACTGAGTGACTAACACTACACTAACAGGGAGTTCACTGTGGTGGGGGCTGCATGTCACACACACACACACGCACAATAGGAAGGGGTCAGCAAGAGGCACATTGTGCGTGGGAAGAGGTGAGGGGTGCCTTGGAGAGAGAATATTTCCTAAAGCAGAATTTCTAGGGTTTGTCTTAGAAAAATCACTTGATAATCTTTGTCTCCATTCAGGTTCCTATTCCTCTGTGCTATATTAAAAATGCAGAAATAAAAATAGGGACTTTCCTGGTGATCCAGTGGTTGAGAATCTGTGCTTCCATTGCAGGAGGCACAGGTTTGATCCCTGGGCCAGGAACTAAGTAAGATCTCACATACCGTGCAGAAAATAAATAAACGAACAGAACTCAGGCTCCTATTTCTCTGTGCTATATTAAAAATATACAAAATAAAAATATACTTGCTTTATTTACCAATTATCTAAAAGGCAAAAAAGTCATAAAAAGACACAAGCAGTCCAACAAACATATTGCACTGGGTGAAGAAAGTCTGGCTTGCGCATAAACAAACCACTTGTCCGGCAAGGCTTGATGTGTTGTTAACAGACTCTGAGAGCTTATTTACATATCTTTTCAGGAATATATTAAAAAGAAGGCTCAGTTTAAAATTGAGAAGAAGTCTTGATAACACCCATGTAAGCACGCACACTAAAGGAAACAAGACCGGATGCGTGTTGGCACCACGTAAACAATTTCACAAGATGCTCCTACTGCCCACTTCTCAGCACACAGTGAAGCTACGCGGCACTTAACAACCAGCGGACAGACATAAATAGTAAGATAACGCTGATGGTAAACATTCATAACAGGAGAGAACCTTTTGGCAGTTCAGCTAAAGCCAATGCAACCTTGACTGTCCCTTGATGATCTAACTGGGAGGCAAGAAGCCGTTTGTAGCATCTGATCTCCACACAAACTCACAGACTACACCTTGCCTTGGGGATCTGAAGATGATGTTGCCTTTACATTTAAAAAAATAATTAAACTTTTTGCGTTTATGAAAAGTAAGATTGATATTCAGGCATAAAATGATTTTACTATGAAAACCAACTGGATTACAAGGAAGCTTCACCTATTCTAGTAGCTGCTTCTCCATCAAAGGATGGGGGGCAGGGGAAGCTGCTTTCTCTGAAGTTGCTACAGACTCAGTGCAACTGTAAGTCAACTGTTTCATCACTGGCAGCTTCTCATTCACTCCAGGGACCAGTTTAACATTTTTTTCTAAGCTTTCTTTGGGATATAAGATGCGATATGAGGTTTTGCAAAAAGGTGAGCAGTCTGGTCTCACTCTTCCCCAGGCATCCTGTTCACCGGAAAGTGCCAGCGACACTAGTGGACATCACGCCAGAGACTGGAAGCGGCATCAGTGAGTCAGGGCTCACAAAAAGGGTGCAGGGCCACCCTGGAACACAGGCTCGGGGCCCAGCTCAGCCAGGAGGAGGCGCTGGCTCCGCTGGCCCAGAGCTGACGCCTGGGAAGCGCCAACGAAGGACCAACACGCGCTGAGTCCCTAACATGGTGGTCACGGCCGGGCTAGGAGGGCTAAGTCCCAAGAAGGGAACGACCAGCAGCACGTTTTCACTGACACGCTGGCCATCCTGGTCTGAAAAGGATGCACGGATGATGCAGCCACACCCAGAGGGGTCTGTGTTGTGTTTCTGAGGACGTGTAATTTCCGTGATGGACGTGGTCACGGGAACCTGTCGGCTTCTTTCATCTGGAGCGAGCAGTTCAACTTTACCCGCCCTGGACATACACACTTGTCAGATGAAGCGTTGGCTGCAACTGTACTGGAAGCTGAAGCGGCAGGTTTGCCAAACTACACATCATTTAATGTGAAACGTTTCGAAAAGGAGGCTTTTGAAATGAAATAAGCACAGGCTGTGACTTCCACTTGGTAGGTTTCAAAAACATCTAGTCTGACTAAATAATTTAGAGAGAAAGCCGCCCCTGGAGAGGACAGAATTGATCTGATCCAAACACAAACACAAATGCTGGGCAAGCCCTGGACCGCCGCTCCTCGGCGTGGAGCCCCCGCGTCCCTCGGGCTGGTGGTCGCAGCCTGGGCCATGCCTCGGAATAACCCATGGAGCCAGTAGGCCCGGGCCGGCCTGTCTGGGGACTCCTGGGGGCGCTCAGCCACTTCCTGACACAAAGAGGCAGGCAGCCTTTCTCGAGTTAAATAGTGAAGGTCTCGTTCCCCTGCCCCCTAACATCCTATATCTGTATTTTATTCATAAATATAAAATAGCATTTCTTCCCAAACATCTCCTACCTTCCATGGTTTTAAATCACCCCTTCAGAAAACTATGGGTTTTTTTTTAAAACAAAAAAAGCCATGAAAGTATATCCATCGGTCTCACTGGAGACCCATGCGAGACCCTTCCCCTCCTCAGAGCACCGCCTAGCGGACGTCACTGGCGGCGCTGTCGCCTTGAGGAGGGGGGCTGCGTCTGCCTTTCGTTTCTGGGACTCAGGGGGGCCCACTCTCCTCTCCTTTGGTGTCTGTCATTTCGCTGAGCCCCAGTGTAGGGGTGTCTTCCTCATATGCCACACAAAGGCTGTCTTCTCCCTCGTTTTCACAGTAAACACATCCCTTAAAAGAAAAATGTAAATCAGTAACGAAAATGAGATCTTTGGTACAAACAGTTCAGTCTGAACGAAGCGCAGGTGACCAGGTGTCGGCCTGAGGCTGCTGGCAGGCGCGGAGGTGCCACTAGGCTGCGGGACCCCTGCTTGCTTCTTCCCGACTTCTTCCAGTCCCCTGGGAACCTCATCTGAGAGGGGGCTTTGCACAATGAGGTGGGGGGCATCAATCAGAGGCCCTGGTCCCAGCCCTTCCTCCTTCTGCCTGCACGACCTGGAGTGCTACCTACCTTCTCTGACCTCAGTTTTCTAATCTGTAAAATGGGACACTAAGAAGCTACCAGCTTATTTGTTCCTCCCCCTGTTGAACACCTATCTGTTAAGCATCTGTCGTGTTCCAGACTCGTTCTAAGAACCGGGATTTGGCAGTGAACAGAGAGGAAAACCCGTGTCCCGTTGGAGGAGATCTAGTAGCCAGAGGAGAGGTGCTCCGAGGTGTTATAAGACGGGAGGTGCTGGGCTGACGTGGAACGAGGCACACGAGGACTCTGTCATTTTACAGTGGACGTTCAGAAAAGGCCACCAAGAGCGACTGTGGTGGCTTTAAAATATGCCCATGAAGTTTTTGACATTCCTTCCTCCAAAGGTGGAGGCCTGGACTCAGTGACGTGCCTCTAACAAAGCGCAGGTGACGGAGGTTGTCACAGGCCCCCAGCATCCTGGCCCCGTGCCCTCGGGGGAGGCCGGGATCTTGTCCTGAGGACACATAAGCAGTGCCGTGGTCAGATCCACATGGCAAGGAGCAGAGCCCTCCTGCCAACGGCCAGCCCCCACGAGCACTGCGGGAGGGACCCCCCTCGGAAGCAGATCCCCAGCTCTGGTCCTGCCTCTGGAGGCGGGAGCCTAGCCGTTACCTTGCCTTCACCCTCAGGAGAGGCCCCTAGTCAGAACTACCCAGCTGAGCTGCTCTTAAATTCCAACCCAGAGAAACAGTGGGGAGAATAAACGGTTCTTATTCTAAGCTACTAAGCTTGGGGGTTATTTGCTGTGCAGCAGTAGATCAGCTGGGGCTTTCCTGGTCCCTCAGCTGGTAAAGAAAGTGCCTGCAATGCAGGAGACCCGGCTTCAGTTCTGGGGTTGGGAAGATCCCCTGGAGAAGGGCATGGCTCCCACTCCAGTACTCTTGCCTGGAGAATTCCACAGACAGTGCCCTGGTGGGCTACAGTCCCTGGGGTCACAGAAGAGTCAGACATGACTGAGCGACGTACACACACAGCGATGGCAGGTCCATAGCACAACTGTGCGTGGAGAAGCCCAGGAGCCAGAGTGAGCCAGTGTGTCTGTGAGGAGGGGGACGCCCAGGAGAGGGCAGGGCAGGCACAAAGGCCCCGGGGCAGGAGACACGTGCTGGTCTTCAGAGAACCGCCAGAGAGGAGGGAATGTGGGGGACGGGTGCTGCGGGGAGGGGGCGACACAGCTTAACTGCTATGTTAGGGTGGTGATGGGAAGCGGCTGCTTTCCATCCCCCTGGAAGGTCAGGCCAGCGTGACCTGCCGGTGGACTGGATAGGGGTAAGAGAGGAGGGGAGTCCGGGCCCGTGGTCTGAGCAAGTGGGGTGGCGCAGACTTCCCCTGGAGTGGGCGGGAAGAAAGTGGCTGGGCAGGTCGTCTCCGGGGAAACCTGGGAAGTACCCCAGAGGTGGACGCTGGCGGGGCTCGCGTGTAGATGCCGCTTCCCACGGGAGGCGGGAGCTGACCGTGCTGGGGTGGTGTGCATAGAGAAGGCCAGGGCACCCCGGAATCTGGCTGTGTCCACACTGGGGAAGTGAACCAGGGAGGGGAGCTGGGGTACAGAGAAACCCTCAAGAAGGAACAGAGAGCGCGGGGGGCAGCCGCTTAGAGTGCAAGGAGGGCTTGCTGTCCCCTGCTTCTTATGGTCTACACGGATGTTGAGGGTTTAGGACAGAAGAAGTAGGTCTGTGTTTTAATTGTGACAACAACTGAAAAATTTTCAAATTTCAGCATGTGACTGAGATTAGACATTTCAGAGACCTTTTTGGAAACAGTGTTGAAAAGCCACTGGAAGGAAGTTCCTTGAAAGACATCTAACAGTGTTGTGGTTTCTTTTTTCTTGTAATGCTCTTATTTAATCTTCAAAGTTTTAAATGTACAGAACAGATGCACAGACAGTGCCAGGCATTCTCATCACAGTGCCTTTTAACACCATGTCAGGAAGCGCCGTGTCCCAGAGCTTACCTCCACGTCGATGGCCGTGGGCAGGCCACCTGACCGCATCCACAGGTGGATGTCCTGCAGTTCCTGCTTCTGCCCATCTGTGAACCTGGGCTGGAACCTCTGCAGTGCCTTCAGCTTCTCCCTGTCCTCCTGTAGGACCGTCTCTAAGTTTCTTCATGAAATATCAAGAAACAGGGAAGCTTTAGAATGCCTCAAGGGTTATCTTTTTTTAAAGTATATGCTCATTTTCTACCAACACTTCCAGTATTATTCACATAATTTTATTTTAATGTAATTTTTTTTTTTTTTTTGCCACACTCCTCAGCATAGAGGATCTTCCCTGACCAGGGACAGATCCTGTGGCCCCTGCAGTGGACGGAGTCTTAGTCTTTACCACTGGACCCCAGGGAATTTTAGATGATTTTGTTTAACTTTCCTTTCCACTTAAAATAAATTACCCTATTTCATGTAACAATCTCTCTAGTAAATAAGCTGTAGTTTTTCTATGAAAGTGATACACTAAGTTCTGGTTTTAATTTTAGCTTAGATCAGCCATGGGAGCTGGGTACCTGCAGACACTTGCTTCTGCACCTGGGAGCATCTCACCAGCAAGGTGGAGAGTAGACAAGCCCCCCTGCCACCTGCCGCCCTGGCCTGCCTCAGGTGGATGTCCTGCAGTTCCTGCTTCTGCCCATCTGTGAACCTGGGCTGGAACCTCTGCAGTGCCTTCAGCTTCTCCCTGTCCTCCTGTAGGACCGTCTCTAAGTTTCTTCATGAAATATCAAGAAACAGGGAAGCTTTAGAATGCCTCAAGGGTTATCTTTTTTTAAAGTATATGCTCATTTTCTACCAACACTTCCAGTATTATTCACATAATTTTAATTTAATTTTTTTTTTTTTTTTGCCACACTCCTCAGCATAGAGGATCTTCCCTGACCAGAGACAGATCCTGTGGCCCCTGCAGTGGAAGGAGTCTTAGTTTTTACCACTGGACCCCAGGGAATTTTAGATGATTTTGTTTAACTTTCCTTTCCACTTAAAATAAATTACCCTATTTCAGGTAACAATCTCTCTAGTAAATAAGCTGTAGTTTTTCTATGAAAGTGATACACCAAGTTCTGGTTTTAATTTTAGCTTAGATCAGCCATGGGAGCTGGGTACCTGCAGACACTTGCTTCTGCACCTGGGAGCATCTCACCAGCAAGGTGGAGAGTAGACAAGCCCCCCTGCCACCTGCCGCCCTGGCCTGCCTCGCAGCGGCCCTGGAGACGGAGCCCCAGGCTGGCCTGGCCCAGAGCCCTGGCTGTTCTGAGCCTTGGGGTTAATCACCCCCACCGAGGGGGCACCGCACCTGACAGGCTCCGGGTTCCTTGGAGTGGTCAGAGCTGAGGCACAGACCAGGCTCCCTAAGAAGCAGCGGGTGGCCTGGGACGGTCTCCCGCCTCAGCTCTTGGTTTCTGCATCTCTGGGACAGACAGACACACACCACTGGCCACACAGGGCTATCACAGCAGAGCAGAAGAGGTGGCAGTGGCACAAACGCTGTGTGCCGGCAAGTGACGGCCCGGAGGCTCCCCAGGCCAGCACGGGGCCTCCGCATGGCCGCGCGCGCCGGCCGTCCACCCAGGGGGCCCTCCTAGCGGCACCCTCTGTTCCATCTGAGACAAGGCACTGGGAAGCCCTCTGGCCTCGCCGTCGGGGGATCCCGAGCCCAGCCCCGCACTGCCCCAGCAGGGGCGGGCGGTTACCGTGCAGGCATCTGGTAGGTCATCCTGACGCTGTCATCCGTGTTGGCCATCAGCAGCCAGACGGGGTCTTGGAGGACATACTTGAGGAGGTGCTCAGTCCCGTCCACCTCCGCCTTCACTGCTGCTCCGTGGTTATTCTCTGAAGAGTCGATGCTTCCGAAATACCTGCTGGTGTGACTCGTGTCGCTGCTGCCTTTAAAACAGAGTGCCGCAGGTCACGACCTCGAACCTAAGTCAGCCCCGTAAGGGGAGGGCAGCTACTGCCGGTGTCGGGGGATTGTCCCTTCTCTTTTTCCAACGGTCCAACTGTCTGGATGATAACTTAAGAATCACTTAAAGACCAGGCATCCGCTGGAACCATGGAGCTGACTCTGCTGGCACAGCTGTGGAGTCCAGGCGGGGCCCCAGCTAAGAGGCCGTGCCCTCCCCTCCCTGGCCTTCCAGGGTGGGGGGTCCGCCCAGGTGAGGGGAGTGGGGCGCTTGCAGCCGGGGATGGGTGTGCTGCTCCTGCAGAGCAGCTCCAAGCCACACTGCACCGTCCCGGCCGGTACCGCCCGAGGCCACACGCCGGTGCCCACCAGGGGAGACACTCGGGACGGCGCTCCACCACCTGCCCTCCCAGCAGATGCGGGGAGCCCCAGGGACAGTCCAGCCAGGGATGGGGGTGCAGTCTGCCCTGCCCACTGACACGGGGAGTGACAGGTGACAGCGGGAACCGGGCCTGGCCATGGGGCAGGAGGAGGAGCCCTGTGGCCCATGTGAGGCTCCGAGGAGCCGCTCGGGGTGCAGCCAGAAGCCACGCCATCAGGACCCCGATGCTGGGCCCTGCAAGCAGCAGCCTGAGGCTCTGGGGGCGACTGGCACCCTCCGGACACAGACAGCCAAGGATACCCAGGTGCGTCACATGGGGGTCTTCCAAACACAGGTCAACTGTGCCCCCCACCCAACTCAGGGCTCCCGGTGCCCCCCATGTACCTGGCCCACTTCTGGACGCATCGCAGCCCAGGGAGCCGGAGGCCAGGGAGCAGGAGGTGGCGGAGGCCTGGCTCCCAGACAGCGCAGAGCCCGTGGCCGAGCAGAGGTCCCCCTGCAGCAGGAGGCGCAGCAAGCCGCTGGATGAGGAGAGCGAGTCACTGTTCGGGGCATCCGCTGGCTCCTCACGCTTGGGGGGACAGGGGGGGACACCCAGTCAGGTCTCCACACAGAGCAGGGCTGAGTGAGGGGACGGAGGCTCCTTGGGCACTGGCCCTTTCTCTGTGGGCCATGTGCACAGACCCTGGGGTTCCCGGGACCCAGCCCGCTTCTCGGAGGCAGAAAGGAGGACGTTTGATTAGATTCCATTTGGGGAGAGTCCCTCGAGAGAAGGTGGCTCCTAGAGCCCAGGCAGGGATCCAAGCTTTATGCTTATTTCTCCACCGAGTGCACATGGAAGCAGGACCATGCCTCAACAGCACCCAGAGGTGCCCTCAGAGCGGCAGGACTCTGCACCCTACAGCAGGGGCAGCCTTGGGCACCAGGGGCCTGGCCTGGGAGTGCCCAGTCTGTAGGCGAGGCGGGAATCAGAGGTGCTGGGGGTCCCTGTCCCCACCTCCTTTCCCGGAGCACAGGTCAGGGGGCACGTGGCCCTGCCGTGGACACAGGCGGGGAGTGGGAACCCGGGTGGCCCCACCGTGGACACAGGCGGGGAGTGGGAACCTAGGTGGCCCCGCTGTGGACACAGGCGGGGAGCGGGAACCCAGGTGGCCCTGCCTTGGACACAGGTGGGGAGCGAGAACCCAGGTGGCCCTGCCTTGGACACAGGCGGGGGGGTGGGTCCATGCAGCCCTGCTTTGGCGGGCTCACAGACTGCCCTGCCTTGGACACAGGCCAGGTGTGAGGGGATGGCTCATGGACAGCACTGCCTTGGCTCTCAGAACACAGATGCGTTAGCTGGAAATCACACTGCTGTTTCACGAACTAAGTAAGAGAATGTGCCCGTGTCCTCACCCTGGGAGGGCGGGGTTGAGAGCAGCGGTTTCCAGCTCCCTCCAGCTCCGGGCCTCACCAGGGCCCCTCTGCTTCCAGCCCCACTCCGAGGAGCCTCTGCTCTGGTGTTTAACCTGATGGCTCCATCCTCCAAGTGTCCACCTAACACCCGGAGGCCCCTGACGATGCGTGATGAAGTCCCCGTGGCCGTCTGGACACTGCATCTGCCAGCCATCTCTCTCTCTCCAGGTCCCAGGATGGTTAGGGTCACAGGTCTACTGTGATGGGGCCTTGGGAACATGCTCATGTCTGGCACACGGATCTGCATCCAGACTAAGTGGTTTGGCAGAACTGCGGGGTGGAGGCCACCCACGTCGGGCATGAGGGTGTGCATGGCCCGCCCTGGTACCAGAGTTCGCCGCCTGCTTTAGACAAAGGGCATCAGGAGGTGCTTACGGTTGGGGGTGACTTGGGCTGCCAGTCCCAGGATGAGCCAGGCTTGCAGTCGGCACCTGCACCCACGGTCCCTGTGGCCCCTGTGGCCGCTGCGGTGCCCTCAGGGGCCTCCTCCAGCTGCATGAGGTTGAGCTGCAGCGGTGAGCTTCCGCGGGACTGGAAGAGTGGCAGGGAGGTCCTGTCTGGGGGCCCAGCAGAGGGGGGCGGGGTACCTGGGGTGGCCACGCGCGACATGGGTGGCCCTCGCTCCGCTGGGGCACATGGGCACGGCTGTTTGGGGGCTGAGGTCCGATCGGGGAAGAACTCGGGCTGTGAGGCAGGAGGCATCTCAGATGCAAAGTTCGGCTGGCTGGGGAAGAAGGCTGGGGGCAAGGCTGGGGTCACCGGGGAGAAGGAGTAGCCGGGCAAGACCAATGCCATGACCGGGGCCAAGGGGCTGGCGAACGGCGAGGGATGGACCCTGAGCGCCTGCTGGGCATCCACGGGCACTGCGAGGTCAGTGTGGGCAGCCCCAGACCCTGTGGTCACGGTCCCTGGTGCGGTCACTATTCCTGGCGCTGGAAACAAGGGCAGGGAGTAGGCTGGCACTGGGCCAGGGAAGGGCATCGCTGGGCAGCTGGACTGTGACGTGTCCGACAGGGACCAGGCTGTGGTGTTCAGGCCCACCAGTGGGAGGCGCTGGGGCGCTGGACCCCCAGACCCGGTGCTGCCCGAGGACTCGCGAGGCTTGACACGTTTGGACTTCAGTTTTCGGTTCTTCCCGGTTTTTTTCCAAGAGGAGTCTACTCCAGAGGTATTTCTTAGTCCAGGAGCAGCTAAAATAATAGGAACACAATGAGAGTTAAAATCCTTAAAGCTAAGCTTCAGCAGTACGTGAACCAAGAATTTCCAAATATAAAAGCTGGGTTTAGAAAAGGCAGAGGAACCAGAGATCAAATTGCCAACATTCGCTGAATCATAGAGAAGGCAAGGAAATTCCCGAAAAACATCCGCTTCATTAACTATACTAAAGCCTTTGACTTTGTGGATCACAACAAACTGGAAAATTCTTAGAGTTGGAAATACCAAATCACCTTACCTGCCTCCTGAGAAACCTGTATGCAAGTCAAGAAGCAACAGTTAGAACTGGACATGGAACAATGGACTGGTTCCAAATAGGGAAAGGAGTAAGTCAAGGTTGTATATTGTCACCCTGCTTATTTAACTTATATTCAGAGTACATCATGCAAAATGCTGAGCTGGATGAAGCACAAGCTGAAATCAAGATTGCTGGTAGAAATATCAATAACGTCAGATACACAGATGACACCACCCTTATGGCAGAAATAACTGAAGAGCCTCTTGATGAAAGTGAAGAGGAGAGTGAAAAAGTTGNGCAGGAGAAGAAGGGGACAACAGAGGATGAGATGGTTGGATGGCATCACCGACTCAATGGGCATGAGTTTGAGTAAGCTCTGGGAGTTGGTGATGGACAGGGAGGCCCGGCATGCTGCGGTGCATGGGGTTGCAAAGAGGACATGACTGAGCAACTCAACTGAACTGAAAGGCAGAACCACTGATTTTATGTAACCTCATATCTCAACTTTACAAACTTTTAAAAAGAGATGTTTTTAAGAGATCTCTGTTAAAGAGAGATGTTTCTTGGTCCATCTGCCAAAGGAGCCTATGTCCATGCCTGTGAAGTCAAAGGGCTGAAGGAACACAGGTCCTCCTCTGATCCAAGACCTGCTGAGAGGGGCCATCCTCAGGAGGCTGCAGGGACTCCACCTGTGGTGTGGCGGACACGGGGCATGTCCCCCACCTCCCCTGGGCCCTGGCTGGGACTGGGGGTGCTGTGGGCCAGAGGGGCACCCTGAGCCTGGTAGGTGGGGCACGGGCAGTGGGACGGGCCCAGGACCTCAGCTTTCCCCCTCACGTCACAGAGGGTAACTCGGGGGCCCTGGCCGTGGGCGTGTGGGGACATCCCCGGCCGGCTGTGCCACATGCCAGAGCAGACGGTTCAGGCCAAGGCGAACGGCCAAGTGGGTGGAGGTTCTGTCGTCACTCTGTCTGTCTAGTGTTCGTCCTACAAGAGTCTATCTCGCGCTGTGACTAGGACTTGCAGTGCTGGGCTCCAGGGTACCAACCCGGGGTTCTGGGCAGGGCTGCTGGGGACAGCTGTGTGGGCTGGGCACCACAGAAACTGCCAGGCCAAGGGGGCAGGAGGCGCTGGGATTCTGCACCAAGCCGGGCTGCCAGCTGCGGGGGTGGGGGCCTGGCTCCTGGTTTCCACAGAGGTTCCCTGCGTGCCTTCAGTAACCCTAGGTCCAGGCAGGAAGGAGGAAAGGAGAGCGGGAATGGTATAATCTTCCAGTACAGGGTCAGCCTCTCACTCCTGGGACACCCATCTCGGCACATCTGCCCAGAGGCCAGGGGAGCTGGGCCCTCGCAGTGTGGGCCCCCTGGGCTCGTAGCTCTGATCCTTGGGTTGGGGCTTGGAGCCCAGGGGAGAGCTGGCATCTCCGACCAGCTCGGCCCTGACCGCAGGGCCCAGGAAGGTGGCTGGGGGCTGGGAGCCCGGCTCCTGCACCAGATAAGGGGTGAGGAAGCCAGCCTACTCCACCACAGCCCCGTGCTGGCGCTTCACACCCCCCGGGCTCTGTCTGGCTCTGGAGTCTGCACGGCAGCGGCGAGGCCAACCCGCCAGGATGGTGTGCGTTCTGGGGAGAAGGGCACCCTTTCCTCCTGCAGCGTCATCTGGGATCCCTCCTTCCTCAGGAGCCTGACGTCAAACGCTCCTTCCCTGGGCGGTGAATTCGCCCCCCTGGTTCTCTGAGGGAGGGAAGGGGGGTGGCACCCAGGCAGAGAATGCCTGGCAAGGCAGGAGGGCAGTCGCCCGGCCCTGAGTTTCACAGGGGTGGGCTGGGCCTGTCACCACTGCTTATAGCACAGTTCCCTTGGGAACGCAGGTGACATCCCCGAGTGTCAGTGCTCACGCTCCAACGGCATCTTACAAGCGCCCGTGTCCTAAGGAGGGGGCGCTCACCGTCTGAAAGCAGCACGGACGCAGCAGCGTTAAGAACAGAGTTAAAACCCGCTTTAGTTCCGATGTCGTCACTTACTTCTGTCGCTCAAGTGCCCCTTGGACCTTTCTTGCAGGTAATGATGGCAGCGAGACTGGAAAACATGGAGTTTCCTGATTTCCCGGAACCGCAGCAGGAAGCTCTGCTCCTCCTTCTGGGTGTGGGCGGCCAGCACCTCCTTGGTGAGGCCCAGCTTCCGGAAGGCCTCCTGGTCCTGGCTGAGGCCGCAGGGCAGCACGGGGCCCGCCGGGCACTCCAGAGACTCGGGCCCGCTCGCAGCAGCATCTCCCAGCGGCTCTGGAACAGCGGACGCGGAGCTCTCATCCGCAAGGGCCCTTCTGCCCAAGAACGGATGAGAAAACGCGCACCGCTCCCGCAAAGGCCAGAGTCTCCCACAGAAGGCTCCCGCACAATGCCCACAGGATGGGGCTGACGCTCGAGACGCGTCTGCTCAGCTCTCTGAGAAAGCTGCCAACCAAAGCCAACAAGCGGGGACACGAAGCCACGTGAGGTGGGGGCTCTGGAATCCGTCCTCTAAACTGAGCCGTCCTCTAACCTGGGGGCACCTGGAGTTTCAGCCTCTGACACTGAAGACACTCGAGGCTGTCTTGGGCTTTCAGGGCACAGAAGGTACCTGGCCCTGTCCTGGCGTAGGACCACAGGCCTGACGGTGTGGTCAGCAGAACCGTGGGGGCAGGCAGGATGGGGCCCGTGGGACTACAGGCCATCCTGAGGGGGGCTGGCCACTGGCCCTCTGATGTGGACTCTCCCCCTTATCACGCCCTTCTTCCAAGCAGAGAACAGGTTCAGGCTGGTTCTCCTCTAGGTGTCTGAAGGACAGCTCAGCATATTGCCCTTGGCTGTCCTGTCTCGGCTCCTGTCCTCCAACAGGAGGGCCAGGCTTGCCACCCCACCCATGGCAGTTGGGAGGTCGGGGGGCCTTGTCCCCAGGGTTCTCTCGGCCTCAACCAAAGGGGAGTCCTGGCATCACTGCTCGGTCCCAGGAAGCCCCTCCATGTTGACACCTGAGCGGACACCTGTCATAGGGGGAGCCAGAGTGTGGCGGGGGCGGGGGCAGGTGTTGCCACCCCCACCCTGCACGGCACGTGCCTGGACTTCCTGGACACCCCCTTACTGGGCCACGTGGGTGCGCCTGCACTCAGATACACTTAGGATCTGGGGAAGTGTGGCGGGGGCGGGGGCAGGTGTCGCCACCCCCACCCTGCACGGCACGTGCCTGGACTTCCTGGACACCCCCTTACTGGGCCACATGGGTGCGCCTGCACTCAGATACACTTAGGATCTGGGGACGGGCGTCAAACCCCTGCTCTCCACGGTCAGCGTCAGACTGTTCTCGCGGTCGCCAGTTCTCGGCGCGCCTACCAAGCTCGGGCGGCGGCTTCTTGTCCCCCACGTGGACGATGGTGCTGCTGTAGCTGCACTGGCTGCCGAGGGACGCCACACTCTCCGCCTTGCTGGGCAGCGTCAGCGACGTCAGGCGCGCGCTCATGTCCCTGCGGCCCTTCATCGGGGAGGGCGATGCTGCCTCTTTGCAGGAGAAAACGGAAGCAGACACAAATCGCGGTAAGGGCGAGCTACTGTGACAAGAATCACGGAGGCCGGCCGAGGGGGCGCTCCAGGACCTGGGGGCTCAAGTCTGCACTCGACCTACCAGCAGATGCTGTGCCCTCCAGGGAATGGCAGAGAAACGGAGACTCAGGAATGGGGACAATGGCACCCTGACATCCTGCATCCTCTGGGAGGAGACAGGTGCCTGGGCTCAGGGCCTCTGCCGGGGCCTGTGGGGAGCCCCACCCTGCAGCCAGGGCCCCTCTGCTGAGGGCAGGCGAGCAGCTGGGCTTCCCCCGCAGGCTGGGACAGGCCTCACCAGTCGCCCAGGCTTCCATCAACCATGGAGACCCTGCTTGTGGTCCTGCTGAGGACCACCAGTAATAGCCACACATTCGATCTCCTCTGACTCCTGGGGCTGCTGACACTCAGAGGCCAGTCCTCCTCTGAGACACCATGAAACAGGCCCGCCGGAGAACGACATCCTGTCCTCTAAGTCCAGAACCACCTCTACCTCCAGCTGGTAAGAAAGTTCTGAGACATTTTGGTCATTTAAATCAACAGCTGACACCCCAGCACGTGTCCCTGAGGCCGCTCAGAACCCACAGGAGAAGGGAGAAGGGGCCTCGGGCACTCAGATAAGGCCTGATCCCGAGAGAGGGGTAAGTGGCGGGTACAGCTCAAGCAGACATGGTACCTGCAGCATGCAGCCCTGGGCCCGCGAGGGCCTGGCGCTTGTCACTGGCCTGGGGCGTGGCGAGGCTCGCAGGGAACTCGCACTTCCTCTTCAGGGTGGCTGCCTCGCTGCAGCTCTCCAGGTACCTGCGGGGGGGTTGGAAAGGGCTTCATGTAACCGAGAGTCAGACCACGGGTGCCGCTGGCGGGGAGGGAGGCCAGAAGGGCCGCACCTGATAACGCTGTCCAGGCAGCTGATCTGCTGGTAGGAGCCGGCCGGCGGGTCCCTGCAGGCCAGCTCCTTGGGAGGGCTGACCTCGGGCAGGCTGGCCCTGGAGCTGTCTTTCTCCATGGCCGCAGCAGCTTTCATCAGAGTCGGGGAACCCCTCGGCATTTCTGGAGCAATGACAACATCGTTCTTTCCATTAATACCTGTTTCCCCTAGTGCCCACTCTAAGATTACAAAGCATTTCAATTCTACTGAAAAATAGTGCCAGGGCTCAGCATGTGCCTCACAGACACGGAGACCCCAGGCCAGCCTGGGATTCAGGCCACCCCGCCAGGCCAGCCTGGGACTCAGGCCACCCCGCTGGGCCAGCGGAGGGAGCTCTCTCGTCCCCACTTGGTCTGGGCTGTCCCCAGGTTCAGGGACTCAGCAGTGGGAAAGGCCAGTTCCTACTTGAACACCTGAAGATCACAGGAGCTTTGTGGTCCATCGATATCCCCAGCCTCGGAAGGTTTGGTCTCTTCCAATGCGACTCGCCATGTGGTGAGCAGGATCAGGCCTGGGGTGCAGGGTGGGGGGCCCAGGAGCAGAGCTGGCACCCCCACCTCAGGCAGCTGGGCCTGGACCGTCCACGGGACAGCTGGGCAGCCCCTGGGCAAGCATCTGCTCACGTGGCTCAGGGCCACTCTGCAGAGTGGGACCAGGGGGTCATGGGGCAGAGGCGCACACCTGGCTACACCTCATGGGCCTCCGGGGGCAGGGCCCCCGGGACAGGGGCTGTGGTGTGGACCCCAGGCTGAGCCCTGTGTCAGCACAGAAGCGAATGGCCCAACTCAAAGGGGAAATTCCCTGCATCCAGAGCTTTAGTCACACCCGCCTCCCTGTCTTGCCACGCTGAAGCCTCACTAAGGAAATGCTGGATCATTTGGTACCTGAAGCAGGCTTGCTCTTTTGTTCTCCAGATTCATCAGGGTAATGAATTTTGCTTTTGGCCTTCTTACCATTTTTACAAATTTCCTTGAAGAAAAACAAAAACAAATGAACACATTATTCACCCCAGGAGACCCTGCAACCTGTGCCCCACAGGCTGAGAAAGAAAAGCCCAACTAACCCCAGCAACAGAGAAGCAAGCTCGAAATGAGATCTGAGACCCAAACAAAGCAGATTTTATGATTCTGAAGAATAATAAGAAATAAAGTGAGTGTTAGGCTACTCTTTCTTCTTTCTAAGCCTAATCCTTCCGTTTGATCTTCACTTTTGTCTGATTTGCCTGCTTTAAATAGTTCTCACCCAAACCTGTAGCCACAGCTTGCAGCTGCTCCCACCCTTTCAAGGCTAGAGAGTGAGTCCCAGGTGAGCCGAGTTTAGAGCAGCCAGAAGCAGCTGAGGTCGGACAGGCTTGGCCCCAGTGAGGACTGGTCTCAGAGTGCACAGTCACCCGCGTCACAGGTGATGGGCAGAGGGGGACCACGGGGCACGTACGGCTCTCCTCCGGCGGGGGTCCTCCTGGCCGGTGCTGTCGCTGGAGGAGGTCTGGCTCATGAGATGCTCATGGGACCCGTTGCTGCCCAGGCTCCCGTAGCCGCTGGAGCCACTGTGGGGCACAGGCTGCGGANTCCCAGGCTGCCACCTGCCTGCTCCTCACTCCCTCCTCCCACTCACTGTCCACCTGAACGAGGCCACGCCCGCCAGGGGGGCAGATCCATGGTGGGAGGTGACCTGGGTCTGCCCCCCCCAGCTCCCTCACTGCCCCAGGCCCTGGGAGCACTCACATCCTCACTCTGTGTCTCCCAATGATGAAGGAGATCTTCCTGCTCCAGGGGTTGATGAAGCTGGACCAGCTGGTGTCCAGCGTGATGTACTCCCCATTTCGGGCGCGGAACCGGAGGGGGGAGTAGTCGAAGGGCTGCCCCCCGGACTGCACAACTGGGGGAGGGAGAGCAGAGTTCAGGACGTGAGGAGATGCAGCTGGTGCTTGCAGAAGAAGACACGTGGAGATGCACTTAATTTTGGAATCATGTGAAAACTCAGGAGACACCAATACCTTTTCAAAGCCACCGCTTTGAACCTTCTGTTTTGCCTTAGGCTGCACACGGGGCCGCTTGCAGCACTGTCCTCGCGGATTTTAGGACACACGCCCCTGCGAGCCTCACTGGTCTTCTCCCAGTGGGATCTCAGTGTCGCCTGTCTGTGGGCTTGTAGGACCGGGGTTGTCCACTCCCCTGGCCTGGGTCAACCACCCTACGCCCCCACGCCCCACCAGCTGACCCTGTCTCCTTTCTTCCTGCCTGCAGGCGCAGCCAACAGTCAAAACAGGACACCGAGGACTCAGGCCGTGGGCTACTCTCGACCAACCGACAGTGCCAGGACTCAGGCAGGCGGTGGGCAGCCCTCACCCGCAGCCCCCTGGACCAGTCCTGGCGGGTGCTGACCTCGGGAAGACACCCCCAGACTGCACTAGCTTTGTCTGCACCCCCAGGAAGGACTTCGAGGAGGGGACCTACTCTTCTTGTGGATGGCGAGCATCAGGGGCCTGTCGCTGGGGTGCAGCTGCACGAGCACGGGGGTCTCGATCAGGTCCTGGGGCAGGTGGCCCAGCAGAGGGACGGCCCTGCAAGGCAAGCAGCACGGGGTCACGGCCGTGCTCAGAACGCCGGCCAGAACACGGCCTCCAGGAGCGGCAGCCAACCCATCATCTCCAGGAATGAGGCCGGCTCTGAATCCCCTAAAGACCAAATCTGGGTACCAGTGCTGACGAGGCAACAGTCAGGCTTTTCATTAACTAGCAAACCAAGCATGCTGCATCCCGAGAGTCTGCGACCAAAAGCTGGGTCCTACAGGGCACTGCCCGTCACAGGCTCAGTGCTTAGACCTGATTTCCTGAAATAATCGATCATGATAACGTTTTTCTTTTCTTCTTCTAAGATCTTTTCCTTTTAATGTGTCCTAAGTTTGGCCAGAAGGAAATGGCAACCCACTCCAGTGTTCTTGCCTGGAGAATCCCAGGGACGGCGGAGCCTGGTGGGCTGCTGTCTATGGGGTTGCACAGAGTCGGACACGACTGAAGTGACTTAGCAATAGCAAGTTTGGCTAGACGTGGCTTGACACGGACTTTCTAAAGCAAGTTTGCCTGGACCAGGGCAGGCCTGCCCGTGGGCATCTCCCCAGCTCCAGGCGTCCTCCTCCTGCCCTACCTGTGGCCACTGCGTCTGGTCCCCAGGAGCTGCCGTCGCCAGCTGGGCCCCTGCCCTGTGCCCACCAGGTCTTCCCTGGGTGCAGCTGTCTTGCTTTCTAGGCAATGTTTTACACCGAACTTCTGTAGTCCCCCTCCTGCCTCTGTGCGTGAGTCCAGCACCCTCTGGTGGCTCAGCTCCTGTTGCGAGCGGCATCTCAGTCTCCCTTCGCAGGCCGGTCCCCTTTCATCCCAGCAGCTGCTTCTCAAGCTGACTTCTGCTCACGTGGAGCAGCTTGTTCTTTCCTTAGAGCAAAGCCTCCCTGTTCTGTGTGGGGAGAACTTCCTCGTGGGAGTTCTTTGATTTCCTCCTCCTTGCCTGAGGCACGTTCTGGGCCTGGTATTTTCCTTTGGACAGGATGTACAGCACATCCTGGTCAAGGCCTGTCCGGGGGGAGGAGGAGGGGGAAGGGGCCTGGCCGGCCTGGGCTCCATGGGCTGGACTGTCCGCTGGGCTGTGCTGAGCCAGGCTCTGCAGCCTCTTGGCCCACAGTGACCAGCTCACCAGGCCTCCTGCACACAAATGAGTAGACCCCTGGGGCAGCTGCAGACAGGAATGCTTAGGCTTTTGGAGGAATAAAAACTATCCTGGTGTTGCTTCACAAATGTAGCTCCTAGGCCCCAACCTCCAGGATCCTGTCCCCCAGGGAGGCAGGGCCTGGAACCTGCTCCTCGAAGCTGCAGGTGGCTGGTTGTGCACAGCTGAGCAGCCTGGGGCTGGGGAGGCTGATGGGCCTGGCTGCCAGAGAGCAGAACTTCCCAGCAGGCTGCCTGCAGCTGGGGGCGGGGGCACCTGGTGTCCCTGGGCCTGGTGTGGGCGGTGGGGGGCCTAACCCTGCACAGACACCCTGCAGAAAGCCCAGCAAGCTCCCTGCGGGTCTCCCCAGGAGACTTCTCCCCGAGCCCTGCTGGGGCAGCAGCAGCAGTCTCCTGTGTGTCTTCGTGCATGTGCCTAGGAGCTGAGGAAGTCACACGGGGACCCTGAGCCCTCAGAATGGTCAGTGCTCCTGAGCCCAGCAGGGCCACGGGCACCGACTACAGCACCCTGCGCCGAGGACCCAGGCAGGGAGCGCAGGAGGGCTCTGGGCAGAGGTACGGCGGTGGCCACTCGCCGCAGCGGCCTATGGCAGGCAGGCTGGGGATGCACCTCTGCTGGGGCCCTGCCAGGGATGCCTTCAGCTTCAGTCCTAGCACCGTCCAGGCATGTGGTCCCTGGCTGCACCAGCCTTGACATGTGTGCCCGCCTTTTGAACCAGGTTTAAACAAGGGTATGTAGACAAGCTCAACTAGAATGATGACCAGCTCCCCAGCATGTCTCATCTACGTAGAGTCCATACCTTAGGAGGTTTTAGTGTGATTCCATAATTATTTCATTGTCTACGTATAGCTGAGTGTTTTCATTATTACATATAACATGCAGCCTGAGCTTTAGCTAAATAGCTTCAACATCAAAATCATGAAAGTTCATTCAGCTTTATTTGGTTATTAAGTAACTACCAAGACAGTGATGAGACACGAACTGTCTGGGGCGGGGAACCTGCTGCTGTGAAGGGTACAGCACTGACTCCAAGACCAGCGGGAGGGAGAGGTGAGCATGGAGGGGTGGTGCTGCTGCCTGGCTTACCTTTGGTCCACGTCCTGGAAAAGACAATTTGGCGAATGTGTGGTCGTAAAAATTCTCTTTTCAGGAGGGATTCTAGGGGCTGAAAGAAAAGAATTTTGCACAGACTTTTGATTTCAATGTAGTTATATTAGAACATAATTTGTGGTGGGGAAGGGGAGGGCACCCACGGTCCAGCAACGCCTGGACCCAGCGAGAGATGCGGGGCCTAGTGCTTCTGGCCGACAGGGGAGGATGGGTGTGTCTGGAGGGAGAGGAGACTGCCTGGGGCTGGGAGCCCGCCTTACAGACACGAGTCTGAGCCTCAGACAGAGGCCGGGGAGCAGGCTGGCCCGCGTTACCTTCGTAGCCCGAGTGCACTCTCTCCGCCAGCAGCACGCAGCACAGCTGGCTCTCCGCGCCCTGCCGCTCGCGCACCTGGGCCAGGTAGGGCGTCATGCGGAACGGGTGGTAGTGGATCTCGCTCTTGTGGTTTTTGCCGACACTGCAGAGGAGGGTGGGAGGAGAGGCCGGGGATTAGGGCAGAAGGACTCGTCCTCTGTTGCTGGTTACCTCTCCCCCAGCAGCGGCTGCTGTGTTTCAGCATCCTTTACTTATTACACAGATGTCCACGGAGCCGAGCCGGGTGGCTCACTGGGCCCCTCACCCAGGCCGAGTCGGGCACGCTCACTTGGTCTCTGATCTGTGCCTCCAGCCTGCAAGAGGGTCTGCGACCCACCACCCTGCTCCTCTGTCCTTGCCCTGAGACGTCCAGGGACAGTGAGGGGGCCATCCGACAGTCACTGGCCTGAGCAGTGGCAGTGCTCCGAGGCCCTTCTCCGGGGCAGTTGGCATTTTAATTGGGGGAAGGCCGCTGCTCTAGCGCGGGGGTCCTAGCCCCAGCTCCTGAGGGTACGCGGCTCTGCTGGGGCCACTCCTGACACTACAGACGGATGTTCAACGGGTCCCTTGATTCGGGGCCACAGACCTGTGGGCCCTCCCTGAGAAAACACACTTAGACTAAGGGTTTCATGAGCTTCTGGGGTCCTCACAGAACCTGAGGGGAAAGCTGTGGGCTCTCCCTGAGAAAACACACTCAGACCAAAGGCTACACGAGCTTCCGGGGTCCTCACGGAACCTGGGGTTCATGCCTTTCCGGGCTGGGGGGAGCTGGCCAGTCTCCCAGGTGACGGCTGCAAGTCTGGGCTGCCCAGGCTGACGTTCTTCACGAGGAGCAGCTCAGTCACCGCACTGCTGACCCGTCTCTCCTAACGCTCCGAGCTCATTTAAAATGCGGCTTGGGACTTCCCTGGCAGGCCAGTGATGGGGACTTACTGCTTGTACTGCCAGAGCCCCGGTTCGATCCCTGGGCAGGGAACTAAGGCTGCACAAGCAGAGCAGCGTGGCCAAAAGGTGAAACAAAACAGAACGGCCTGGCCTACGAAAGCGTGTCTTCACGTGGACTTTTCAGGACCAGGCGTGACGTGCGGCAGAGGTGTCCCTGCTGAGCCTCCGCCCCAGAGAACGGGGCCTGGGCGGGCGGCGGGGCGAGGGCACTCCTGCACCTTCCCCACCTTCAGGAGCTGGGCTCACCTGATACGGCAGAAGAAAGACTTCTCCTCCATGCATTCTTGAGTAAAAGAGTCTGAAAGAGAAAGTCCCAGTCACTCCGCCCGTCACACAGCTGACCCTGGAAGGTGCTTTTATTGCCCACGGATGAGGCAGGAGCAGGAGAATCAAGAGTCAGGGTGCAGGGGCCGGTTTACCTGCCACCGAGCGGAGCCCTCAGGGCACAGACCTCTGACTTCAGTCCTGACCGAGGTGAGGTCTAGTTCACGAGCAAGCACTCACCAAAACATGCCGTGCTAACAGCACTGCCACAAACACACCAACTAATGACAGATTTAACTCTGGGACGTGTACTCACTGGTGGGCAGAGTGTTTGCATGTAAACACCCAAGCATCTCAACCCAAACATTTCTGGGGGGATTGCTGCTCTTCAGTTGCTAAGTCCTATCTGACTCTTTGTGACCCCACAGACTGCAGCACGCCAGGCCTCCCTGTCCATCACCATCTCCTGGAGCTTTCTCAAATTCACATCCATTGAGTCAGTGATGCCATCTAACCATCTCATCCTCTGTCATCTCCTTATCCTCCCACCTTCAATCTTTCCCAGCATCAGGGTCTTTTCTGATGAGTCGGCTCTTTGCATCAGGTGGCCAAAGTACTGGAGCTTCAGCTTCAGCATCAGTCCTTCCAATGAACATTCAGGACAGATTTCCTTTAGGATTGACTGGTTTAATCTCCACGCAGTCCAAGGGACTCTCAAACGTCTTCTCCAGCATTATGAAAACATTAGTTCTTTGGCGCTCAGCTTTCTTTATGGTCCAGCTCTCATATCTGTGCCTGATTACTGGAAAACCATAGCTTTGACTATATGGACCTTTGTTGGCGAAGTGACGACTCTGCTTTTTATTACACTGTCTAGGTTTGTCACAGCTTTTCCTCCAAGGAGCAAGCATCTTTTGATTTCATGGCTGCTGTTACCATCTGCAGTGATATTGGAGCTCAGGAAAATAAGTCTGTCATTGTTTCCATTGTTTCCCCATCTATTTGTCATGAAGGGATGGGACCTGATGCCATGATCTTAGTTTTCTAAATGTTGAGTTTTAAGCCAGGCTTTTCACTCTCCTCTTTCACCTTCATCAAGAGGCTCTTTAGTTCCTCTTCACTTTCTGTCATAAGGGTGGCGGCATCTACATATCTGAGATTATTGATATTTCTCCCAACAATCTTGATTCCAGCTTGAGCTTCATCTAGCCTGGCATTTCACATGATGTACTCTGCATAGAAGTTAATAAGCAGGTTGACAACATACAGCCTTGATGTACTCCTTTCCCAATTTGGAACCACTCCATTATTCCATGTCTATTTCTGTCACTTCTTGACCTGCACACACGTTTCTCAGGAGGCAGGTAAGGTAGTCTGGAATTCCCATCTCTTGAAGAATCTTCCACAGTTTGTCGTGATCCACACAGTCAAAGGCTTTAGTGTAGTCAATAAAGCAGATGTTCCAGAGAGTTCTGGAACTCTCTTGCTTTTTCTGTGATCCAACAGATGCTGTCAATTTGATCTCTGGTTCCTCTGCCCTTTCTAAATCCAGCTTGAACATCTAGAAGTTACTGGTTCACATACTTTTGAAGCCTCGCTTGAAGGATTTTGAACATTACCTTGCTAGTATGTGAAATGAGTGCAACTGTGCGGGAGTCTGAGCATTCGTTGGCATTGCCTTTCTTTGGGATTGGAATGAGAACTGACCTTTGCCAGTCCTGTGGCCACTGCTGTGTTTTCTAAATTTGCTGGCGTATTGAGTGCAGCACTTTCACAGCGTCATCTTGTGGGATTTGAAATGGCTCTGCTGCAGTTCCATCACCTCCACTAGCTTTGTTCATAGTGATGCTTCCTAAGGCCCACTTGACTCCACACTCCAGAATGTCCAGCTCTAGGTGAGTGATCACACCATCATGGTTATCCGCGTCATTAAGACCTTTTTTGTACAGTTCTGTGTATTCCTGCCGCCTCTTCTTAATATTCTTTGGTTCGGTTAGGTCCATACCATTTCTGTCCTTTATTGTGCCCATCTTTGCATGAAATGTTCCCTTGGTATCTCTCATTTTCTTGAAGAGGTCTCTAGTCTTTCCCATTCTATTGTTTTGTAACAGAAGCAACTCAGGGCATTTCACAGCTTTCATCAATCCTTACTTTAAAATTTAACTGTCTAGCGAAAACATGAGTTCAACCCGATGATCTCATTAGACATGAAAGAACAGTGTTTTCATAATAAACACAATTTAAGAAAAGAAATCTTAAATTTTGGTCATCCTCATAAAGCTTCCTCTACTCAAAACAAAGAAACCAACGACAACAACAACAGAACGCAAGGAAAATCAGACAATTACTGGTTAGGGAAAATGATATAAAATTACTAGCCCGGAAAGGCCTTATTTTCTATTCAGATAAAGATTCAGCCCCAAGCATCCCTGGGGGACGGCGCCGCCTGGTCACGCTGTGAGCCCGCACGCAGAGCTCCCGCCCTCCTAGCAGTGACAAGGAGCTGAGCAGTCCTCCTAACACTGGCCACAGCCTTGTGTGATCTGGCTGCACAGTTCCTGGGCTGGGGCTTCAGGAGAAAGCAGATGGCTCGACCCCTGAAACGTGACGTGAGCGTCCGCTCATTATGAGTCAATCTTGGAGCAAACTGCTCTGGCCCGGGTTGTCTGGGCTCGGGTAGGAATAGCTGCTGAACTGGGGCTCTGACAGTGACGGTGCCGGCCTTGCTGCCTGGAAGCAGGGGAGGGGAGCACCACGGCGTGGAGGGACCCGAGGTCCAGGCAGAGGTGGATGTGGGCGGAGGAGAATTTTGATGAGAGCAGAGACCTGATCCAGGAGCCAAGGATAGGAGTCAGTTTTGGGGGACACAGCCAGGGCTGGCTCTTGGTTGAGATCATGACCGAGGCCCAGCTTATCCGGAGCGCTCCCGGTCCCGTCCGTTTCCTGCTTGTCTCTCCTGACTCCCTGGGGCTTCTCCTCTCTGGGTCCATCTCAGCTTCGAGAACTCAGAGCCGAAAGAGGGGCTAATGACCGTCCAGGCGCAGATGGACAGACACTGCAGGACAAGCACACATGACACTTGGCCGTGAGAGCCCGTGGCCAGGAGCAGAGTAGGGTAGGCTGGGAGCCCCGGGGCCTGGGCACGCAGCCACCGTGGTGCAGACCGGAGCCCACGGAGCCCGGAACGCCCAGCTGGGTCTGAGCTGGGAGGACGGTGTGGTCTGTGTTCACGAAGCAGCCTCGCGGAGGTGCTGAGCTTCCCCTCTGTGCTGACATCACCACACCGCCTGCAGGAAGCCTTCCAGATGTGCCTCTGTCCTTCCCCTCTCTCTGTAGCCTCACCTCCAGACTTCAGCTTCCATCACCTTCCTTTCAAAAACACCTGACATCCCTTAAAATCTTCTGAAGCCATTTTCCCTTTCTGAAATCTATAAGGACTTTTTCCCTAAATTTATTCTGAGCAGACAACCTTTAACCTTTCACCTGGGACAGACACGCCGGCCTCTTTGGGAGGGCACACTGGGGGACTGCAGCGGAGCCCAGTGGAGGGGAGGTGGGCAGCGGCCCCACATCGGGGGTCACCCTGACCGGCCCCCACCCTGCCGGGCCGAGCCCTCACCTGCTTGGCGGCGGTCGCTCCAGGGCGGCAGCTTGTACGGCGTGGTGGAGCTGTGGAACACGCTCACATCATGGGGCGCCAAGAACTCCACAAACCTGGCGTCGTAGAAGGTGTCCCTCTTACAGCGAAAGATGGAGGCCACTTGGTCAGAGATGTACAGGATCTTCCCGGTCACCAAGGATACAGCGGCTGCAAACATATCCTGGGACGCGGAGAACGTGGCTTTGGTGAAGCCAGGCAGGAGAGGACTGGACAGGTCTCCCCCCCTGGAATTGGGGTCCCTCCAGAATCGGGCTGAGGGACGGGCAGGGAGCGGGACAAGCGAAGGGTCAGGGAGGCCTCTGGACCGCTCTCCCCGGCCTGGACCACAGTGGCCGGACTTCTTCTCTCACATGTACAGGGTCCCAGGGGGCACTGTTTGGGAAACACGTGGGTTCCACTGCCGAGCAGAACCCCCCTGTGGGAATCCTCTGCAGCCGTCGCCCGCCCGGGCTTTGGGCATGGCACTGCTGGCGGCCCGCCCAGGTGCGCCGGGAGGTGGCAGGGGCCTCACCCCGCTCCCCCCGACTGTCAGCCACGAGCCTTTGCAGCGCATCTCTCCCGGGCTCAGGGGCTGCCTGGGGGGCTGGAGGCCGTGGGGCCCCGGCCCAAACTCAGGCTCTCCTGGCCAGCTGGCCCTCTGAGCTTGGGGCTGGGGATCCCCAGGGGATAAGGGGCCCCTTGGGTTAAGCTGCAGCGGGGGCACTGGGGGAGTGACCTTGGAGAGTCAGGAGCCCCTTCCTTCCCCTGGCCAGCCCTGCTGTGCTTCTGGGACCTGTGGGTCCCTACCTGCCCTTAAGTCTGCTCTCCTGACTGAGAGCTGGGGGTGACTCACCCCCTTTCGAAACCTCAGGGTGGGCCCCACCTACGGGCTACTTGTGTCCTTCCCCTTCCCATCACGTGGGGCCCCCCATCAGTGGGGGCTCACTCCCACACCCTCAGGTGTGGGGTGGAGTCGGCTGGGCTGCGAGGGGTCGGCCTCAGAGAGCAGCACGAGCTGGCACGTGGCCGCTGCTTCTGAATCCCTGACTTACGCTCTTTTTTTAAAAGTAAGGAACCCATCTCCTGAAACTCGCGGCCCTGCTGCTATGAAGCCAGGGCTCGGCTGGCTCTCCCAGGGAGGCTTGGCCAGCGGCGGTGAGCTTTCTGGGTGAAGACCCGGCTTGGATCAGGCGCTCACCGCATTCTTCACGATGAGCTCGGAGGTGGCGCCCTCGATCTCGCGCAGCGTGTAGGAGGGCGCGTGGGCGCTGCAGGGGCGGTTCTCGCTGGGCATCAGCAGCTGGTAGTACTCCTCGCTGGCTGCGGAGAGACCACGCGCAGGGCTGAGCGCGGTGCCGAGCTCACGCTGAGCGCTCTGCCCTCCTCGTGAGAAATGGGGCAGAGAGCACAAACAGTAAAGGCTGAACAAACAGAAATCCAGGTTTTTTTCCCCTGAAAAATCAGAAGGCCTTTGATCACCGAATCTTTTAAATCATTCTCAGGAACTTCTCAGGAACATTCCCAGGCTTCTCAAAAACATGACCACACAGTCCACCTGAGCGCGTGTCCCCCACAGGCCTGTCTTCGTGATGCTACGGCACACTGCTATTTCCAGGCAGGACAATGGGACAGCCCCCTGTTCCCACCCCCTCGGCGACCGGACGCTCCCATCTGGACAGAATCGACTCTTAGAAACATACCTGGCATGGAAACAACCCAGGGAACAAAGTGTTCACAAGAGAACCGAGGATGCTGGCCACTCATCCTGGGACCCGTACAGGCTGACAAAGCCACTCTGCCAGTGGGGCCCCAGGTGAGCGGAGCCCAGGCTGACCGACTTCCGCAGCTAAACCATCTAGAGGTGACCCCAGGCGTGGCATCCTGGGCCTGGACTCCCAGGATGTGGGCTTCAGGCGGAACAGTGCTAGGAACGCTGGCGGCTCTTGCGGTCACGCCTTCCTTACCTGCCTGGAGACGGGGCACCTGTGGTTACCTGAGACCCAGGGCAGGGGCACCGGCTCGGTGGAAGGCCAGGTCACAGGGCTGCTGAAGGAAGACTAAGCTCACTGGGAGCTATTCATGGGATGTGGGATTTACTGAAACGTAGGCACCTGAGCTTGTGGACACACGCATGCTGGAGCCTGCAGCATTTGCTGTAAATTCCCGCACCGCCTCTGCGGAGAGTCCAGCACGTGCCGTCTCAGGTAAAGGCCTCAGCCGATTTTGCTGTGTGTGTGCTCAGTCACTTCAGTCTTGTCCAGATTCTTTGTGACCCTGAGGATTATAGCCTGCCAGGCTCCTCTGTTCATGGGATTCTCCAGGCAAGAATACTGGAGGGGGGTGCCATGCCCTCCTCCAGGGGATCTTCCTGACCCAGGAATCGACCTCGCATCTCCTGAATTGCAAGCGGATTGTTTACCACTGAGCCACCAGGGAAACCCTTTGCTTCTGCTGACGGTTCTGAAAGCTCTTCCGTGTTCTTCCATCTAATGATAAAATCTGAACAGACCCACAGAGGGAAGTGGCATGTGGATCACGCAGGCTGTTACTGCCTGGGATAGAAAGGGGCACGGGGCCTGCCCGCCCGCCTTCCTGGCAGAAAGACCACCACAGGAGAAACTCAACATGCTTAGAAACATGAGGCAATACCCTCCTTGTATCTCCTCACATGACTTTTTAAAGGTAAGCCGTCAGCGGCAGGCTGGGTTGGGTGTGGGGGGCGCTCACAGCCCCAGCCCACACACACATCAGAACTCTCTGGCCAGAGCCAGGAAGGCGCTGGACACTCCGGAACGTGACGGGACCCCAGCCCAGGGTACAAAAGCTCCATGTTGCTAATATTAATAAACAGGTTTCTTTATTGGCTGGTTTTCTACCTGCTTTTTTTTTCCTTTTGCCTAAAAGTCACGTATAATAGAAAACTTCTGATGAACCAAGGTTTTCAACCAACTGCGATTTCATCAGACTTCTATGATTTCCTTCTGCTATTTCAGGACTGAATTTCAGAAAATCAACTCAGTCTAAGCTCTGATCTGGGGAGAGCTGAGACTTACTGCTACAGGTTGGAACAAACACCTACCTTTCACCTGCTTCACACTCCTCAGGGCATACTTGAGGGTCGCCAAGGTGCTGGCCTTCCCCTTGGCCTTCCTGTCCGCGGGGAGGTGGACCTTCAGCTCCTTCAGTGTTTTGATGAGCTCTCTGTGGGCATCGGCTTTGGTGGACTGCTGGCTGCTGCGGAGTTGAAGAAGGACGTGAGCGCCCTGAGTGCTGCTGTCTCCGTGCCTCTGGTCCAGCTTCCCCACTGGGGCGCGAGGACCCTGTGGTCTGCGTGTTCTTGGTGGGCATGCAGGCTGCAGGGGCGCCCTGCCAGCTGTGAAACCAACACTGTCTGCAGACACGCCTGTGTGCTCATAGGGAGAGGAGCCGTCCTGGGAGAAGCAGTGCTCTAACCAGGTGAACGCTGGACGGCATCCTTCCTGCTGCCTCTTCTCTACCAGCAAGGCCTAGTGGTCCACTCACCACCTGACCAGCCCACCCCACTGCTGAGCTGTCTTCCTTCTGGTCTCAGACAGAGAAGGAGTGAGTGATGGAGACCCCAGGGGACAGCATGGTGGAGTCCTGGGACAAGGATGTGAACAGTGAGAAGAGAGGAGAGGAGAGGAGACCAAGTTTACAAGGAGGATCTTCAAATCCAAGGATACAGAGACAGAGGGAGACAGGCTGTTTAGACAGAGGATCCAGAGAGTGATGGGATTGGGCCTCAGGGGTGATGGCATATCGCCCCCAGGCCTGGGACTAAGGTCTGAATTTTGCCCCAGTGGTGATGGGAAATTGTCTGTCAATGTGAAATTAAAGACATGTTTGTCACAAACACCTAAAAAAGAGGTCAGGAATGTTCCAGGTACGTGTCTGAGATGCAGACAAGGCCTGCCAAGTCAGAGTCAGAGGAGCTGCAGGCCTGGGGCACAGTCAGGGGCTTGGAGCAGACCGAGGGGTCAGTTGTCTAAAAGGACGAGGCTGGATTCACAGAGGACATCGCTGCTCAGACTGACAGGCTCCAAGATAAGCTCAAAAACAGTCACTTCACCCCCAAAACCTCGTCTCATGACAAACCTTTTGACCTCTCTGAAGGCTCTAAATGGAGGGAGTGGTAACTGGTCTTACCTGCAGCCGCTGGTGGACAGGTGGTGTTGAGACTTTGCCATCATCAGGCCAAAGGTTTCTGGACTAAAAGAACAAAAATAAATGCAAAACTCAGAGGAGCGTGTCCATCTCCGTCCTCCCCATCCACCCAGGGATGACAGGCTGGACCACACTGCGCAAGTCAATTAGGAACAACACGAGGTTAAGAGAAAACGAACAGAAAACCTCTGGATATCAGATAAGGAAGTGCTGGGCGATACAAACCCTAGGCTAGAGTAGCAAGTTCATGGTCTGTAAACCACTCAGCATCATTCAGGGTTACCTGACTCTTCTGCCTCCTGAGATCTTGTCGGGTACATTATGCATCTACCACAATCCTACACCCATGTCACCGTTATAAGGAAGGATAGACCTCAGGAGAGTTTAGTTGTTCTGAGTTAATAAGACAGAGAATGAGATGGTTGGATGGCATCACTGACTCAATGGACATGAGTTTGAGCAAGGTCCGGGAGTTGGTGATGGACAGGGAGGCCTGGTGTGCTGCAGTCCCTGGGGTCGCAAAGAGTTGCACACAGCGGAGCAACTGAACTAAACTGAAGTGAGTTAATAGGATTTTCAAAAGTCTTGAGACACTTGGTCATCACGACTTAAAGACTGCAAAAGCACTCCCATTACCACCAAGTGAGACTCTGAGAAAACAAGCCGCACCCACCCCTGGGCCCGCGGCCCCACCAGCAGCCCCAGCTCCCGGCTGCTGTCGTCACAGTCGCTGCCCTGCGAGTCCCGCCCCGTCGAGCCGTTCTCGTTGGTCTCGTTCCCGCTCGAGCCACTGCCCATGTCCACGTCCTCCTGGAGGGCGGCTTGGCTGGTTCGGGGCTCCGCGGGCTCCTCGGAGGGATTGCTGGGGCTGGGCGTGCAGTCAGCACATCCGTTCATGCTGGCTCCGGGGCAGAGCTGCCAGAGCAGAGACTGTAGTCAGGCACGCGAGGGCAGGCAGCCCACCAGGAGGGATGACCTGTCGGAAGCCTCCTCCAGGTCCGCTGGAGGACGCGGGGTCAGCGGCGTGGCTTCTGCGCCCTGGGTCCCCAACTGCCCTGAACTGTGAGGGCAGCCACAGCCCCAGACACCCCCTTGCTGATAGCCCTCCCGGGGATGGGGGTGCATCAGGGCTCAGAAATCTCAGCCATCACAAGTTAGGGGAGACCCAGAGTCAGGCTGCGGGCGGGAAGGCTTCAGGGGGAAATGAGGCTGGTGGGGGGTGTGGTGGGAGCCCTCACGGCGGCGGGGGGCGTCCATATGAGGCCAGTGTGGGGCCCACACCTTGCGGGGTCCATGCAGAGCCACGGATGCATCGGAAGCAGCAGACTCTGGGAACCGTGTTTGTTTATTTGGACAGAAAGTTTTGCTCCGGGGCTTTGGCGGGGTAGGTGGGTGGAGAGGGGCTGGAGAGAGAGACTGACTGGTTGTAGGCTGGGGTGAGTACAGACAGTGAGGACCCAGGGCAGGCGGGCGGCGTGGGAAGCCTAAGGACGGGAGACCGAGAGGTCACGGGGCAAAACCAGGACCCTGGAGTGTGCTTCCCCAGGGTCCCGGCAGGACACAGGCCCTCCTGCAGACCCGGCGGGAGCTGGGTGGGGGCCCGGCACGAGAGGGTGTGGTCAGGGTTAAGGAAACTGCAAGCGATGCGCAGCTCTGGGGCGACCAAGTGTGTGTGTGGGGGCTGTCCTCCCCGCTGGGCCTGGAGGAGCCAGCGGGGCCACTGAAGCAGGGGCACCGGGCAGCCTGCGGCCTGGGGGTCAGGGCATAAACCCAGGCTCCACTCTCCTCCTGACCTTGGAGTCAGGAAGCCGGAAGGCGGGGGGCACTCAGACGTGAGCCCCAGAGGCCAGCCTCAGCCGCGAGCAGTGGCAGGAGAGCTGGAGGGCCCGGGCAGCGGTGCCTTTGGGGAGGGTGTCCCTGGAAGGCAGAATGTGCCCCCTCAGCTTTCCCGTGCTCGGGAGCCTGGGCTAGCGGCCACAGGGAGAGGACTCTGGCGGATGTGGCTCTGCAGACAGTGCGGGGGGCATAGCACTCGCTGGCTCGGGTAACCCCCACAGTCACCGTCCACAGTGCACCAGGATCCCGTTGCAGGGAAAACAGCCCATGACTTGCCCAGGGCCACACACACAGCAAGAGACAGCGCTGGATTCAGGGCCCCCTCCTCCCCAAGGATGGGGCCCATGCAGAATCCAACCACAGCACTCTTTGTAAAACAAAAACAGTAGATCTGATCAGACCCTGTCTGGTTCCCGAACCAATCAGCAGAAAGGAGCCAATGTGCAGCTTTGGAAAAGAAGCGCAATGAAGACCAGAGGAATACAACCTCCAGGGCACAAGGAAACAAGGAGGTTTAGGACAGCGCCGGTTCTGTATCACAAACAAAATCAAGAAATGATGGATTCGATGAAACACGTAACAACAGATGAGCTAAAGCTGCAAACTGCGGTGAAAGGGTCACATTAGAACAGAGAATCAGAAAGATAAAGTTGAGACTCAGCAGTGGGAAGGATGAGAGTGAGAAATGTTTTAAACATGCCCAGGGAAAGGGCTGATATTGAAGTCACCTTTTTTTACCTGCAGATAACAGCTGTTTCTGCAGAAGACACCATAACGATGAGACAGAAACTACAGAGAGAGAGATACGTGGAAGGAAATCATCCTGAAGACAGATCGGTATGTGCCTGGCTCCCTGAGCACCCAGCAGAATCACGTGAGGAGTCAAGCCCAGCTGCGCCTTGATGAAATGATGTTTTCAAGGAAAAAGAAAATTCTACCCACGGAAAAAGCAAACAGGTTCCCTGTAAAGGACGCTAAGTCACGCTAGTCTTGGACGTCTCTGCTGTAACATCAGAACTTCAGAAGAGAAAGTCTACACGCCGAGGGGAGACGCCAGGGCCACAAAGGAAGGCTGTTAGAGCATCTCACTGTGGTTTTAGATGGCTGCTGTTTACTGGTCCCGAATCACGAGAACCTCAATCGCCAGCTCTCTGCTGCGAAAGTCAGGAACAAACGAGCACGTCTACCACTCGGTCTTCAACATTCAGGGAAGTTCTAGCTAATGTGATAAACAACGAAAGGTGCTAACATCTGGGGAGAGCCTGAAGACTAAGAACAGGCTGTTTCCACACAGAGAAGCACCAGGCAAGAGCTACTGGCCTGGGAAGACGTTCAGCCTCGTGAGACATGAGGAAACATGCCAAGGACGAGGCTCCCAAGGGGCAGCAGCGCCAGCAGCATCCCGAGCTGGCCAATAGGAGGGCTCCTGTGTTGGACCAACACCTTCCTGGAGTGGGGGCTCTGGGCACATCCAGCTGTGCTGACAGCCTGGCCCCTCCTCACACCTGGGAAGCTGCTCAGTCCACACACAGACGTGTGAGTGTGGGGTATGTAGGAAGAAAGACCCGGAAAGGACCACTGGCAAGGAAGCCACTGGCATCCTGTCCACTCAGCCCACCCGATGGGCCCGGCCTCGGCTGGCCCTGCTGTGGTCCATGTGGGGCAGCTGAGCTCCTCTCTGCCCGGGGCGTGGAGCATAGCCCTGCTCTGTATGGGGGTCGCCAGCGCGGCAGGACCTCGGCTGCCTTCCAGGACCTCCCTTCAGCCACCCGCCCTCCCCCCACCCCAGGCCAGGCTGGGCTCCGACCTGGGGGACCTGGCGCCTGCTGCAGCACTCGGCCGGCAGCTGGCCCGATGGCCCGCACCAGCAGCTCTGCCTTCTCCCAGCCCCTTTGGCTCAGCGTCCCCTGCCTGGCCTGTCCCCCCGAGGTCACCGAGATCGCCAGGGCGTGGGAGCTTTGCGTCCCTCCCAGCTGTAGCCCAGGGCCTGGCACACGGTGTGGGGATACTGTGTCCCCCAGTAAAAAGACGGAAGCCAGGCGCGCAGCTGTGGGAAGACCCTGGGGCATAAACGGACGGCCACAGAACAACAGGAGCTACTGTGAGGACAGGTGGCGCTCTGCAGGGCTGATCCCGGCCTGTCTCTGCCTACAGCGCTGGGGCCGGCGACCGCAGAGAACGGGACAGACAGCTTTCTTGCCCCGTGGAACTCACTTTCCAGTGCGGGAAAACAGGCCGTGAGTAAGGGAACGGCGTGCAGGGCAGAGGAGGGAGGCTGAGACAGAAGCAGGGCAGGGCTCCAGGCGTGGGAGCAGCTGGGCGTGAGTCAGGAAGGAGGACAGGAAAGGCCCACACACAGGAGACGTGGGACCTTGCACTTGCGCCCCGGGGTCGTGCTCACTCAGAGCCCTGCAGCCGCACTCCCCCAAGTCTGCAGACCTCGCTTCTCCCTGGTCATTGCAGGGCCCACACCCGAGGAGTCTCTGCCAGACACGTGTGACCTTGGATGAAGCGCCGAGGTCACCACGAGGTGGGCCCCGGCTTCCCCCGCTGCTGCAGCCGAAGGGCCGGGTGAGGCAGCTGGATCCGAGGCGGCGTGCACCCCTGGATAAGCTGGGACCACGGCCCCCGGGGCGGTGCTGCCTCTCCATCCCTCCCTCGAACAGACTGTCCTCTTCTCTGAATCCTTCCTTCATCTTTTTTTGGATAGTTTTTTCAATGAGACCCCAAGGGGCTGAGTGGCCAGCTGGGGGTCTGTGAAGCAGAGTGTTATCCTGTGTGTATATGCACATGTGTGTGTGTGACAGTCATCTCTTCTGCACTCCCCACTCCCTCACCTCAGCTGCCCTGGGATTACACCTCCCAGTAAAGAACCAGCATTTAAAGCCTCAGCCTGCATGCTCCTTTTAAGAGAAACCAAACTGAGACAGTAGTCATGTACAGATGTGAAAGCTGGACTATAAAGAAAGCTGAGCGCCGAAGAATTGATGCTTTTGAACTGTGGTATTGGAGAAGACTCGAGAGTCCCTTGGACTGCAAGGAGATCCAACCAGTCCATCCTAAAGGAGATCAGTCCTGGGTGTTCATTGAAGGACTGATGCTGAAGCTGAAAGTCCAATACTTTGGCCACCTGATTCGAAGAGCTGACTCATTGGAAAAGACCCTGATGTTGGAAATATTGAGGGTGGGAGGAGAAGGGGACGACAGAGGATGAGATGGTTGCATGGCATCACCGACTCGATGGGCATGAGATTGAGTAAGCTCCGGGAGTTGGTGAAGGACAAGGAAGCCTGGTGTGCTGCAGTCCATGGGTTTGCAAAGAGTCAGACATGACTGAGCGACTGAACTGAACTGAAACTAAGACAGACTGAAGAGACTGAGAGGATGGGCTAGGGGGATGGCAAGTTCAAAGGTCCTGAGGCTGGCATGTCTGAGGAAGATGGATGAATCTGGGGCAGAGGGCCAGGTGGAAGGCAGGTGGCTGACGTGAGGTCAGAGCCAGGTCGTGGCTGCTTTCTGAGTGAGATGGAAAGTGCTGGAGGGTTCTGTGCAACAAGGTCTGACTCACGTGTCAGCAGGGTTACAGGGCAGAGCACGGTGGGGGCTGGGACACCTGTTAGGGGCTCCTCTGCACTTTGCTTATTTCCCAGGGCTCCCTGGACACTATCCGTCTCCCCCACAGCCCTCCCCAGATAAGCAGTGGGACGGGGCCCTTTTGCTGAGCAAATTCTGAAGGGGAGGGGGTGGCAGCCAAGGGCTAAGTGAGCAGACCCTGGACAGTGGGGCCTTCGGCGGGCTCCTCCGCTTCCTGACCGCGATCCTGGGCAAGCTCCCGCACGTCCTGGGGTCCTGCTTCCCCACCTGTAAGGTGGGCCACAGCAGCGCCCAACACCCACTGGTTGCTCGGAGGCTTCAAGGACAGGGTTCTGTGTATGGGCTGCAGCGAGCCTCCAGCAAGGGCTGGCTTTTCGGTCCCTGCCAGGTTTGCTCTGTGGGTTGGGAAGATCCCCTGGAGGAGGGCATGGCAACCCACTCCAGTGTTCTTCCCTGGAGAATCCCATGGACAGAGGAGCCTGCTGGGCTACGGTCTCTGGGGTTGTGAAGAGTCAAACACGACTGAGCGACTACGCACAGCACAGCACAGCCAATCACTAGAGGAAATTGTTTAACAATTTTTTTTTAAAAAGGAGAGCGTTCATTGTCAAGAGTGCTGCCTCTGGCTGCCCTGTGGAGGAGGCCCGGCACACTGTGGGCCCGGGGCTTGTCGCCCAGCTCCTCGGAGAAGCCCTGGTTTTCACGGGTCCTGGCCCCTGAGAGCGTAGGGCCAGCATGGCAGAAACTGGAGACAACAGACCAGCCGTCTGAGCTTCATTATTCCAGAAAACGCATCGCTCAGCACTGACAGCTCTGACTGACCTCATTTTGCCAAGTTGGCAAAACCAACGTGCCTGTCAAGCAGACTTTGCCTCCTGCTTTCCACAAACGTCCATGGAGCGCCCGCCCTCGCCAGCATGCCAGGGCTCCGTGGAAGCCCCAGGAAACCTGTTTCCACCCGGGCAGCAGTGGTGCTGGGGTGGGGGGCCCTCATGAGCCCAGGGGCCCGGGGGAGCAAGGGGCTGTCTTGCTGCAGAGGGTCTGAGGGGAAGGCCAGGGGGCGCCCGCTGTGAGAGACCCGCCAGGGCCACTTCTGAGACGTCCACACGCGGGAGCTGCCCCAGGGAACAGCCAGACGGAAGGAAAGGAGCTGAGCTCACACCCTTGACCCGGGCCCCTGACCACATCTTCAGTAGCCAGGGCTGCCCAGCCGGGGCAGAGGAACGCTTAGAAAGTGCCGTCCACGGTGAGATCACCGTCTGGGCTGGCTGTGCGGCACTTGGGACAGGGAGGCAGCCAGCAGGGAGGCGGAGGAGTGCAGAAACCCGCCGACGCTGGCTGGGGCCGTCATTCCCCGTCCTCTCTGCCTGCACGCACACTCACAGTTGCCACAGTAAACAGCAGAAACGGGGAACGAAAACAGAACCTGAGCCCCAGTGCCACCCTCTACCAGCACTGTCAGGACGGCAAACGCTGCCTGCGCTCACCACCCCTGCTCTGAGGGGTCGCGCCCTTCTCTGCAGAAAGCAGAGACCAGAAATCAGGGCAGGCTCACTCACTGAAGACCGTCGTGAGCTGAAAGGGGAGACAAGACACTTGCAGATGGTGACGCCTTGCTGTGTGTCCACACACCGAGCCCCCAGCCCCAGAGGCAGGACGCCGCTGGCCCCCAGGGGCCCCTGGTGGTGGTCCCCACCCCCAGCCCTGCTCCCCACGTCCACCCCAGGCCCCTCGAGCCTGAGTTCTCACAGCCTGGTCATTCCCCGTTTCTGAACTTTACGTAGCAGGGACCTCACAGCCTGTTCTTCGTTTCTGCAAGCCCTCGTATTTTACACCCCAGATATTATAACCCGGTTGCTACTTCCTGGCAGGAGCCAATTCCCCGAGGCCAGGCTGCTGTAATCTGGAGAAAATGTTTGTCCTGCTGAATAAACACTGGCACTCTCCATGGAAACCGCTGGTAACTGAGGAAAATGTGACTGCAGCCGTCCAAATATGGAAGAGAAGGTGGCTGGGGAGAGGCGTGGCCCCCTTGAGGAGACCCCTCAGGCAGTCTTATCTCCACTGCCTTTAAGAAGCACAAGATTTAAAACGACGACGCAAAAGCCTCTTGCTTTTTCTGCTTAACGCTGGCTTCAGCGTCTGGGTGCCCAGGACCAGCCCAGCTGTTCCGATTCTTCTCAGGAAGGGGGCGAGGACTCTCAAGGCCTTCAGGAGCTGGGGAGGGTCCAGCACTCGGCCTGGAGCTGCCTCCATCTTCGGAACTGCCCGCTTCTGATAAGACAGGGGCCTTGGCCCTGCCCGTGACCTGCACTGCTCGCCTGCTCACTGACTTGCTTCTGATCCGCTCTAGACTTGCAAATACAGTAATCAACGTGGTGCAGAGGTGCCTACGGAGAGCTCAGAGGTCGGGGCCAGGCCCCCTCTCCGGTTCTCTGTGGGTTGGCAGGTGGGCCCGCCTTCTGCAGCGTGTCTGCAGAGCTGTCGTCAGCATGCACTTCTACTTAGTTTGGCCGAATACGGTAGTTCTCAGTGGCGCTCTTTCTCTGGACAGAACGCTGAGCGGCCCCGCCAGCAACTCAGGGACCTGCCAGAGTCTGTGATTTCTTGAGGCCCCGTGAGGTTATTACATCATCATTTAAAAACAGAGGCGTGCCCACCAGTTATTTTTCTGAAAGTTCAGTGTGGGTGAGAAATAGTACAAATGAGAGGAACTATCCCTGCTTCCTTCTAAGCCTCACAGAGTAACACCGTGTGCCCTCAAGTCAGGAACTTGTGTCTCCTGTGGAAAACTGCAGAAAAGCAGAACCCAAAAGGCTAGGGATGAGGGACTGATGTACATACACCACTACATAGAGTTGTCTCTAGATGACTAAAGAGAACCTACCGGACAGCTCAGGGAAAGCTACTAAAATGTTCTGTGGTGACTTAGAGGGGATGGAAATCTGAGAAAGGGGGGATATATGTATATGTAGCATCAGACACGACTCCATGAGTACACAGCAACAACAGCTGATCCACTCTGCTGTAGGGCAGAAATGAACACATTGCCAAGCAACTATACTCCAATAAGAATGGAAAAAAAAAAGCTAGAGGTGGAAACAGACCTGGGATCACCCACCCTGAGCCCTGCTGCACAGACGAGCCCTGGAGGCAGGGGTGTGGGGGGCTGCTGAGTCACCCAGCAGCAGCCCAGGGCCTGGCAGGCGACAGTCCCCAGCTCCCCCCCAATGCCCAGCCCCCAGAGAAAGCCCGGGTTGTGTCAGTTCTGCGCCAGTGAATCACAGGGAGATGACAGCAACAGGTAACTGCCAACACCCACGGCACCATCCCTGTTGGCATATCACGTTGCTTCCACTTAAGAAACAGGAGTCCCTTTCCTCATTTTACTCAGATGCCTTACAAAAAGTGATTGTTTGTTGTTAAGTCGCTGAGTCGTGTCGGACTCTTTTGCGACCTGATGGACTGTAGCCTTCCAGGCTCCTTTATCCGTGGGATTTCCCAGGAAAGGATACTGGAGTGGGTTGCCTTTTCTTTCTCCAGGGTATCTTCTTGACCCACTAATCACTTTTCATCATGAAAAAAAAAAATCACTTTCTTTGTGACAAAAAGTGATTAGCCTTGAATTTAAAACTCAGTTTCGAAGGAAAGCCTTCAGATTCAGAGCTTTGTTCCCTCCTTAGCCACACCAGCCCAGGACCAGAAACCCTGGCTGGGGGTAGGGGCCGGGCAACTCCCTTTTGCAGCAAGAGAGGAGGTCACTGGCCCTGCTGTATTGGATGTGGGCGATGAGAGGTATTTGTGGAGGGGCTTCTGCCATGGAGCTGGGGTTCTTAATGTTTGGGAGACCTGAGGGCCGTCTCCCTCCAAATTCCAGCTCACTCAAGATTCAGCAACACCCAATCCCAGGCCTTCGAAGAACTTCTGAAGTTCATCCTGACCCAGATGAAGACCCTCAGGACGATGGAAAAACCCTGCAGGCACCCTGAGCCTGGGCTTGGCCCAGCCATGCTTTGTGCCCAGCAGACAGCTGGACCTCAGTTTCCTCATCTGTCAAGCTAAGGGGTTACCCTGGATGATTTCCAGGGTACCTTCTGGCTCTGTTTCTCTGTGAGTATGAATCAGCTTTCCCAACTGGTTTCTTCTGTGTAGGTTACAGAAGCCCTGGCAACTGAGTTGTCATCCCTTACCCTGGCCTTCCTGGAGGGGTAAGCAGGCCACCCCCCCTGCCCTCCCCCCACACACTGATTTCTGTCCAGGACTTGGCAGCCAAAGTCCAGCCTAGAAGGATAATGTGATAGCTGTAACACAAAGCAGGACCCTCCCCCTTCTTCTGCGGGACTCAGGAGAGGGAATAAACACAGGGTCCGGCGTGGGCAAAGGGGATGAACATCTGTGCTCAGGTCCAGCATCTGTCTTGTCCCTCTGCTCACCCACTCGAGGGGACCCATGGGCTGTCCAGCCAGGGCTCCTAGACCAGTGCCCACCACTGGCCTTTTCCCAGCTGGAGACTTGGCTCTGTGTCCTCAAGAGCAGGAAGCCAGCTCCCCAAGGGGCCCTCCATCTTCCCAGAGGCTGTGGCACTGCCCCTTGGTCGCCTTGGCCTTCCTCAGCCTTCCCCCCTTGGGGGATGGGGGCAAGACGGGGAGAAGAGGAGGGGTTCCTAAAAGAAAATCGTCTAGAGAAGGACAGCTCGCTGTACAGCCCCTCAGTAGCTCTGTGACCTCAGACATGGGCCTGACCTCTCTGGATCTCAGTTTCTTGATCTGCAAAATGGGAATAACGGTCCCTCCCCCCCATCCCCAGGTCAGTTTCAGGATGAGTGAAATGGCCCAGCAGACCCTCCGATCGCATCTCTGTGGACTAGAGGATCCTCTGCCGTCGCCCGGAGCCAGCCCGCCGAGACCCCAGGCCACCACCCGCCCCCCGAGGCAGGGTCCGGGGCCGTCCCGCCGGCGGTTACGTAACCAGAAAGCCAGGCGGCCAGACGCCGGTCTGCGGCCAGGCCGGCCCGCCACGCCCGCCGCGCCGCGCGCACTCACCGGAGCCGCGTCCTAACCGGTCCGATGGACTGTCCGCGTGCGGCCCGCCGACCCCGCCGCCGCCGCCGCCGCCGAAAGGAGCGCGTAGCCCGCAAGGCAGCCCGCCGCCGCCGCCGCCGCTGCTGACTCGCAGCTGTCACATAGTGGAAAACGTGACCGCTCTCTGTGCCCGCCCCCGGCGCCCGCCCCCGGCGCCCGCCATTGGCCGCGGTGCCGCTTCATCTGCATACCGGGGGGGCGGGGCCTGCGAGTGCCGTGCGTCCATTGGCCACGGCGCCCGTCGCTCTCTTTACATAAGACGCACATGGAACTCCATGTTCCACGATTCTGTTCCTCAATGAAGACGCGGCGGACCCGTGGCCCCCCCCGCCTCGTCCTCTGGAGTGGTCCCTTCCACTTCCGGCCTCGGCGCCTTCCATTCAAGACGAAAGGCAACCGCGGGCCCGGGGAGCGCGGAGTGGCGCGTACCACTGCGGGGCGAGGGGCGGGCTGGGCGCACCCCTGCCAGGCCCACCCCGGGCAGCCGAATCCTCGCTGAAGCCCACTCCGACAGACCGTCGTCACCTTGAGCCACAGCCAGAGACGTCCCCCCAACCCCCGCAAACCTCTTCATTCATTCCCTTTCATTCATTTAGTCCGTATCCATTCATAGCTAGCTGCAGACTGGGCGGCTCTGCAGAAGCTTCGGGTGCACGCCCACCCAGGCAACCGAGGTCGACACTAGCCGAGATCTGTCAGGACACGTAGCTTCCAGGGGGCCTTTTCTTATTTTTTCTTATAGTTTTTCTTAAATTTCTTATAATTTTCAGATTATGCGTCGCAAGTTTTGGTTCAGCAAATAGGGTCCTTGTTACTAAGGGGATGTACAACAAAGGAAATAAATGATGTTGTCCCTGCCCCCAATCGCGTCATTCGGGAGAAAGGACCATCTCATGAAAAGGGAACTTAATCCAATACTAAACTGGGCGGTGTGGATGAGGAATTAACCGGGGCAAGAGTTACGCGCAGAGGTTCCGTGGAGGAGGAAGCACTTGAGTGGCTTTTGGAAAAGGAGGGTTTTCCGACGGCAGAAGTCACAAAGACATGAGCCCCGCATAGCAGGCTCTGGGAGAGAGCCCTATACTCTTAGCACCTTGGCTGCAGCCACTTACTCTTCAATAAGCACTGTTTGGGGTTTGTGAAGAAGCCTCCAGCCTTCTGTCTATAAAGTGTCAGGAGAGGGACTTACCTGGCGGTCCGGTGATTAGGACTCCCGACTTCCAATGCATGGGGCTCAAGTTCTATGCCTGGTCGGGAACTAAGATCCCACATGCTTCATGGCACAGCCAAAAAAAAATTTTTTTTTTTAAGTGTCAGGAGAGTAGAACTTCCTCTCAGACGAGGTAGAGAGCTAAGGTTTTCTGGTGGGACAAAACACAGGCAGGCTCCAAGGCAACTTAGCCTCACCCTGCTCTGAAATTACAGGGTCCGACGTGGGAAGGAAGGTTGGTTGGGCTTGGAAGGGCAGAGGGGGCCTGTGGAATCTCTCTCCACTTGTATATTCTTCTTCCTGGGTGCTCCTGGTAGATCAGGGGTGGGAAGGAAGGAAGAGTCGTGATCTGGTGGCCCGAAGCAGACTAAGCTGCTAGTTCCAGAAGCCAAACACACATTGAGGATTTCCCCTGCCCTTGGCAAAGGGTGTGTGCCACTTCCCCAGACACAGATGCAAAGCCGGGCAACGCCACATTCATCAGGACAGTCCTTCCCACATAAGTCCTGGCAGGCCAGCTGCGCGCTGCACACTCCTTGCTGAGAATGGCCCCTCCTTCTGTTTGTCTGATATTGACACCTCAACTACGACTCCCTGCCCTCTCCTGAATAAACCTACACAAATGCCAAGCAAATCCAGGCCCAATTCAATACCACAGTTCAAAAGCATCAATTCTTCGGCGCTCAGCTTTCTTTATAGTCCAACTCTCACATGCATATATGACTACTGGAAAAACCATTAGCTTTGACTAGACAGACTTTTGTCCACAAAGTAATGTCTCTGCTTTTTTAATATGCTGTCTAGGTTGGTCATAGCTTTTCTTCCAAGGAGCAAGCGTCTTTTAATTTCATCCTGTCAGTCACCATCTGCAGAGATTTTGGAGCCCAAGAATATAAAGTCTGTCACTGTTTCCATTGTTTCCCCATCTATTTGCCACGAAGTGATGGGACTGGATGCCATGATCTTAGTTTCCACCCATAAATCTGGTAAAAAGTGAAATCCATTATTTTAGGAATTATCAAACACTATAAACCTTGACAACTCTTTGGAACTGAATCTATGTTCAGTGTCTCATGACTCCTGTCTTTATTCTTGTTCTTGGAAATGTTCATTCACTCCACTAATTCTTGGTGACACTGGTGTATTGGGGGTGTGCAAAGATGCATCTCGTTGGAGCCTCTGCTTATAAGGAGTTTGCAACGTAGGAGGGGTGATGAAGGAGGTCTGGGGACAATTTCAAATAAGATGGGCTGCGAGTTCCAGGAGAACAGCATAGGTCTGGTGGAAGCATCCACCCCAGTGCCAGCTGCGGGGTGGTAACTTCCCAAACCAAGGTGAGTAGTGAGCATGTGTGTGTGTGCGCGCATTCAGGTGCACACATTAGTGCTTTCAGGTTGGAGGAGGAGGGGAGAAGATATCCTCTCCTGGTCAGTCTATCCTGACCTGGAAATGTGCTTGGATTAGCCATCACATCTAGCACAGGAGTCTTGGCTCTGGGGAAGGCAGCTAGCAAGAAGGAAACCTGGGTTTGGGGGTGGCGGCCAGGGTCCCAGCTGCCTGAGGAATGCTGTCCGTGGAAAGAGCTGGCCTCTCGTCTCAGCCTTCTCCCTGCCTCCCAGCTGCTCAGCCCTGCACCCCTGCCCACTCAGCCTGGGCCCTGCCTGGAGGGCCCCTCTGCACCCGGGCCTCTGGGCCTTGGTGTCCCTGCCAAGACACTTGTTGGCTCGCTCACTCACTCCTGCACTCAGTCGGCCAGCTGTTTACTGGGCCACTACTGCGTGATGAGCTCTGCGCTAGCCATAGCTTCTCTGGTCCTGGATCCTGTGCTTTGTGAGCCGGTGAGCTAAGGCACGAGCTGGGAAGAGAATGATGAGGTCTGTGCGTGGGGAGGGGCTCTCATGTCCTCTCTAAGCAGATGGAGGGGACCCTGTCAGCCCGTCTGGCTTTGCAGAGCCCCTTCCTGGGTTTAGGGACCCTGGAGACGAGAACTCAGACCCTGAACCTCCCTCTCCAGCTTCCCCCGTGCCAGCCACTGGACACCGAGGCAGCTCCTGTCCGGGAGACCCTTAGCCAGCTCCCAAAGTGGGACCCGAGCTCATAGGCAGCTGAGTCCAGGGTCTGAAGACATGAGTGAGGCAAGGCCCACCTGCCCCTGTGGTTGGGAAGCTTCCCGAACCGGACAGTGACCAGCGGGCTGGTGCTTCTCTCTGGCTGCATGGTGGTCTGGGAGCCGGGGAGAATAGGTGCTGGCCACCTATTGAGAAGGGCTTTTGGTTTTTAAACTAAATACAGATGCAAGGAAGGCCGTCCTTTGTTTTGGGGACACATTTGTTTATGCTGTGCGTACACAACACACGTGTGTGTGTATGTGTGTGTTCACAGTCCTCCCCAGGAAGTCGTAGACTGCAGATGCAGCCTCCATCTTTCTTCTCTTCACCCTGAGAAGAGACTCTGAAAAGGACTGAAAGTGTCTGCACAGCGCTGCGTGGCCTGGAGTTCTGGCCTCTGTGTCTACATTGTCCCTTTGCAAGTGACATCCTCAGTGTCACAGACCTGATGGCACAGGTTAGGCCCTCTGTACAAAGTAGAATAAAGGTGGTGATGGTGGGCATACTTGCCCAGTTCCCAGCTGGACAAAAAGTGCTTAATATTTCTCCATGAATTATGATGTGAGCCTCAGTTGTTTAGTTTTTTGTAGATGTCTTTTGTCATATAGAGAAAGTGTCCTTCTATTGTATTGTCATTAATATAATTATTGGGCTCCACTAGTGGCTCAGCTGATAAAGAATCTGCCTGCAACGCAGGAGACCTGGGTTTGATCCCTGGGTTGTGAAGATCCCCTGGAGAAGGGAATGGCTACCTACTCCAGTATTCTTACCTGGAGAGTCCCATGGACAAGGAACCTGGTGGGCTATAGTCTATAGGATCGCAAAGAGTTGGGTATGACTGAAATTATTATCTATTAATACTATTCTACTTTAATGTAAATATTATTCTCTATTATTATATTAATAGTTTGCTGAGAGTTTTCTTTTCCCTTGTTGGCCATACTACACAGACCTTGGTTCCCCAACTAGGGCTTGAACCACGGCCCCCCACCGTAGAAGAGTGGAGTCCTAATCGTGGACTGCCAGGGGATTTTCTCTGAGAGTGTTTTAAAATCATACATTGACACAATGACATTTAACCCATGATAATTATTATTATTTTAAAATGTCTCCCCCAAATTAATCTATTTTTGTGGATCTGCAGATAATTTAAACCACAATAACTTTGTCTCTACCATACAGCACTCCGTATAGAACTGCTTGCTTCATTATTGTGTCTTAAAACAAAAAACCTAAACAAATAAAAAAAACTTAGTACCCAAGACTCCACCTTTTTCATGTTGTCAGTTTCTTCTTTTTGCTAGAGGAACCCGATGGTTAAACGTGTACCTAATCAAATTCAGTTATTATCCGTTTCACAAATAAAAGGCATGGTCTTAACAGAAGCCAAAAAACTGTTTGCTATCATGTCACGTGAGAAAGGATGAAAACTTCCAGCTTCCTGGTCATGAGGCCGTTAAAGGTAACCCAAGGGTTTAACTGAGATGAAAGTTGTGCTCTAGGTGAGGGGGAGGGAGCTGGCAGTGGGGAGGTTGAGTTTGACTGTCAGACTTTTGCCTCGAGACTTTGAAGGCTGATGTATGGGTCAGGTTTTCTGGTGTCTGGAAGCTTGAGCCCCCTTCACAGAGTTTCTGGACTACTGGTACCCCTCACTGTCCTGGAAAGGCCCTAGAAAGACAGCTTGCCCACAAGG